GAATTTTGAAATAATTAATTACTTTTTTTTTACTTTAAAATACGCCAGCATTCCCAATTTTTCTATTTTTAACTCTACTTACTGGGGAAGTACCCCAAGTGCGACGCGTAGATTTTGATGAAACTTGGCACAAATTTAGAATAATTTTTCCCAAGATATATGCGAGAATCCTAACTCGCGCTTTGCAGAAACAACCGAGATTTTTAGATCGAAAGTCGGCGAAAATTCGAAATTTTTTGTCGAATTTCGGCGCGAAAAGTTTCATGCCTATTTCTACTATAGAGGGCAATGTTTCCACAAAAAATCAATTTTTTCGGCACGAAACTAGCAAAGTTATGATCAAAAAGTGTTTTCCTCTCTGACCGCTCTCCGCCTTTATCGTACTCTCTTGGCGGCAAAAATCGTTCAATATCTCGGCGGCTCTCGCAAAGCGCGAGCTGAAACTTTCAGGAATTGATATTTAGTCCCTGCCCGACGTGTGTGCAAAATTTAAAGAAAATCTGAGCGTCGCACTTGGGGTACTTCCCTTGTCAGTCCAAGGTTCTGATATCATGCTCACTAATATACGAATAACTATAAATACCGCTTTCAAAACTTTGCCTCGCCCCACAAACACTAAGCGGATCCTGATTCCGGATGCTTTCGGCCCGTCGGAAGTATTACGTTCAAGTTTATCACAATGTTACGTCCTTATCTTTCCGTTTTTCCTCTCCTTCAACTTGATCATAATGTATTTTCCAACCCGTATTTGGCTTGTTTTCCGACTGTGGACCCTGTTTATGTTTACCAGCGTGCAAGTCGCACATCCCGTTTCATTTTGCATATAAGGTCAGCGTTATATATCCGATTGTCATAATGAAGAAACTCATTCATCAAGTCTGATCTGAGATCAAAAAGTTTGCACGCTTCAGAAGCCCCTTTAATCTTCAGATTCCAACTTTTGATTCGCAGCGGGTGGGCCGCGAGGTATTCTAGACAGGTTCCGACGTTGCGCAACATTCATCACCGAGAATGGAGAAGTGGGAATTGGGAATGATTAATTATTGCGTGACTACTCCCATATTTGGGGCCATATGCCCGCAGGCAGCGAGTTAATTGAAGAATGGGGCTAACGGTATATGAGGGATTGAGTAAAAAGGTCAGGTAGGGAAGAATGACGATCTCACTGCGTCTTTTGCAAGCTTAGAGTATGACAAATTTTTTTGCAAACAGAAGAAATGCTGGGGGTGCAATAGTCACACTTTCCTGAAGTTTTTGGATAGATCAGAGCCATGTAGAAACTGCTGAAAACTTTATCTCATGCCTGCAGCCAAGATCTTCAATAATCTTTGAAAATAAGTTACTATGGTAAATTAGGAGAGACTGCCTGAAACTAGCCTCAATTTTTGCCCAATTTCATCTCAGTTTTTGTAAATGACTTTTTTTATATTTTCTTACCAAATCTTATTACTCTTTCTTCATTCCATATTCGAATCGAATCTTTTCCCTCGGAGAGTTGGCTAGATTTACCTTTTGGCCAAAACATCTGCCGCCCCCTTTCCCCCTCCTTTCCCATTTTACTGTCCCATGCATAAAGATCCCCGGCGCTGATTTTTTAATAAAGTACAAAGCCTTTGCTGGGTTGGGAACGAAATTTGAGGGCAAGATTTATTATTGTTTTAAATACATTTTAAATACTCAAATTGCAAAGCGATTTTTTTTGTTTTATTAACTTTTTTTGAAAGCTTTTGAAGCTTCATCGTATTTTACAATTTCTCGAATTTATTCTAATTATAGTATTCTCTGGCCAATAGAAACTTTTCCCCAGTCCTTCTTCAAACTTTTTTCGTACTTTTTTCCCAACCAATCAGAGTCCGTCTTCTTTTTCAAAAGTTTGCGCAAAGTTTTGGTGGGCGGAGTCGAAATAAAACAAAGAAAATGCGGTTTACTGTGATATCATGGGGAGTTCATCTGTCATTTTGTCATAAGAAGTCAGAATTTTGCGATTTTTCGGCGCAAGGTACGAAAATAATTTTATAAAAAAATGTAATTTTCGTATAATCTTTAGGATTTTCACGCAAAATTTTTTTTGTGATGCTGGGCAGGCCTTAATTTTTCCTTTTCAGTATTTTCCAGACATTTTCTTCATCATTTTTCCCAATTTTTCCGATTTTTTTTTGATTTCGAAATCGATCCCCCCTTGCCCAACCCTAAATCTCTCATCCCAAACTTGGCCATATATTTCCCGGTTTTTTTTATCGCATGACCAGATCCATATTCAAATTTTTATTTTTTTCGCGTTCCCCGAGAGATCGTGTCGGCGGAAGAGGGAGCAGAGAAACCGAGGGGCGGGGTCTGGAAACCATCTGCTCTTCGGGGAAATGGACATGCCCCCGATGAACTGTCTCCATTCAGGCTTCTGATGTTTTTTCTCGGCGAAAAATTGGTTTTTAATTCGATTCCAAGGCCGAGTAATATTCGAATTTGTTTTTCTTTCTTTCTTTTTTCGAAAACTCTACATAAAATACGGTTTTATCACATTTTGAAAAAAAACATCTTCCAAAAAAATTGTAAAATGCGACACATCTGAAACTTGTGTTCTAGTTTTGCAATTATTTTGCCCTTTCCGACCACTTTTTATATTACTCATCACATTGATCTCGCCCATTCTCAAAATTATCCCCAAAATAATATTCCGTTCCCAGTTATTTCGTCCGAAAAGCCCACCTCTCAAGGTGTCGTCCCGATTATTATGCAAAAAAAAACTTTGATAGTGATCGAATTCCCTGTCCCGGTCTTGGCCTTTCGCGATTCAAAAAGCGGAGCGAAGTTTTCGAAATTTTATTTTTGGAGGGGGCGTGATTTTGTGGGTCGGGCAATCACGTCCCGACCGTACGCATAAATTTGGCTCCATCATGGGCTCGATTTACATGTCATGGAGGTGTTGGGAGAGGGGCGAAGAGGGGGGAGATCGGGCCCGTGTTGTAATTACAGTTTAGTGATTGACCTTATGATTTGTAAAAGTACAGCGAGGAAACACGTCAGGTGTGGGGCTAGGGGGCTGGGAATGAGCTAATTTGGTATTCCGCAACGTATATAATGGGCCGATCGAGAGGTTTACTCTAGTTTTTTAGTCATCATTTAGTTATTTCTTCTACAGTGATATTTTTCAATATTTTTTGATTACTTTCTCTACTATTTTTGGCTCACAATCTCGATTCGAGCCTCTATTTTTGATGACTTGACCTTTGTCTTAATTTCGCGTATCCACAATTCTTCAAATATTCGATTACCGTAAACAATATTCCCCATTAAAGTTGCTCCTGAAAGTTCCTTTTATTTGGCGGCCTCTCCAAAGTCATGCCCTTCCGTCGTCCAGAATCTTTATCCCATTATTGCTTTTCTTCCCAGCGAAGGTCTCACTATGGCCACAGAAATGGGACCAATTCAGGAAACCCATTCGGGCCCTGAATTTCGACGTCGCCTTTAAGTGAAGCAGTGCATTAAAAGCGGGCCCGCAAAAAAGTGCTGCGAGAAAAATGGATTTTCATAAATTGAATGTTCGAAATTAGAGAGTTCAGAGATAAGTAATGGATGGGTTTTGGCACTCGGCGCCGAAAAAGGATTCAGAAAAAGTTAATTGGAAATGGGTACGGTAAAAACTAGATGCCAGATAAATCATCCGGCTACGTTGGCCTTTGGTAGTAGGGTAGGAAATTAGTAAGAGGAAATTTTATATTATACATGACATGAGGACTAAAAATCGTAATTTTTTATGACCCAAACATCCGTATTTTAGTTTAGTGTTAGGTTTAAAAATTAATTTACAGCATTATTTGGCCAAAATCTTTTATTTTTTTATTCATAAAATGGCTTACGTCATCAAATTCTACAAGAATATTTTGACTCGAAACAATCTAAAAAATCAGTTTTTTAATACGATCAAAAAGTCGTTGAAATATTTGTTTAACACCCTTAAAATTTCTTCATCACTCATTACCGTAACCCATAAAACCCTCAAAACTTTTTACCCTCCATTTTTGGCCAGTTGAGTATTTTGAATTTGGAAAAAAGTCGGAAATCAAAGCTCCGCCTTCGCTCTCGCTGTCCCATCTTGTTCTCGGATACCCAGGGCATATATGAGTGGATGAGAAGACGAAGGTTGTTCACACTCTCGGCCCTTTTTTCTTCCGAAAAGCATATAAAGTCGCTTTGATGCGGCGGCGGTTTCCTTTTCGGTTTCGGCCGTGAGTTTGGGCCAATGTTTTGGTCTGAAATTTTTGTGAATAATGTAGAATGCCGCAGGGAGAAGGGTGATGCAAAAGACACCATCTATTTTACATTTGAGGAAGCTTTTTGCCCGTCAGCTTTTGTTTTTTGGTCTAAAAATTAATGTTTATTTATTTTTGGTTTATATTTTCCTTCCAAACTTGTACTGTAAGCCGCGAGAATGACGGCCCAAACTTAATCATCCCACGGAATGGATGTCTTCTGCCTTCTCCGCTCTCTCGTTTCGCAGAAAAAACAACTTGGCTTTCCCCATTTCACACATTTCAGCGCCGGCTCCACTCAGCCAGCGCCTCTTCGCCGCACCGCCAACCAAAGCCCGAGACAGCCGGAAAGTTTAAAGCCTCCAAAAACATTTCGCTCCACCCACTTTCGGACCGAGTTTTTGGTTGGCGTCTTTTCTTCATCCACTCGGTCCCAAAAACATTCCGTTCTACCGTATCCCCGCGGCCGCTCAACTTTTCCCGACATTGGTTGGGCCGAGAAAGTTTTGGGGAGCGAAAAGTTTTCGGCCGCCAACTCTCTCCCACTCCTCATTGGCTCTCCATTTACTCCGTAGTGAGTGTTGGAGGTCAGAGAGAGTTTAGATTGCGTATTTATTCGATACTTTGGCTACTTTGTCACCATCCTCCCCCACTGTGATTTTAAGAGTTACGCAATTCATTCGCGACTTGATGAATTTCCAAATTAAATCCATATTCCACTGTTCATGGCGCAGTATGACATCATTTCAGATGAGTGCATTGGATTCATCGTGGCTGTTTGCGTTCCAGAAACCCGAGATTCCCGAAGCACCTGTCTCTTCGGCTTCAACTTCTCCATCGCCCACCGAGAGTTCAGGGCCTTCGGTTGATGATTTGGGCCCGAAGCCGGCCAAGAGAAGGCGCAAACCGGATCGTGAGTTGATGATAGATGATATTAATGTACGATATTGTAGCTAAAGATGTGATCCGATTGATTAGCGAGCCTCAAGCACCTGTTGAAGTCACCGAACCACCCGTTTTGGATGCCATTAAAGAGGATCGTGAATACTCTCCAGAATCCGGCTTTAATGAAGCCAAATCCAAAGCCAAAGCAGATGAATCCGTTCTGAGTCAGATGTCTCAGGGAATCAAGGAGTTCAACGAGTCCGTGACCGAGCTTCACGGTCGTCCTGAGACTTCAATGTCACCCTCAAACTTGTCTTTCAACCTGCCCAGTGGAATTCCGTATGGGACTGCGATCAGAGCGATTGGTAAGTAGTGCATTTAAGACTCTTATTCGTCTATTTCAACGTTTATTGATATTTTTGTCATCAATTCACACCTCATTTCTACCCTGGTTATATTGTTCTCGCTCTTTCCAGAGAACGGCAAACTGACCTGCCCCACGCCGGGCTGCGACGGTTCGGGCCACCAAACCGGCCTTTACACCCACCACCGAAGTCTGAGCGGATGTCCCCGGAGGCCGAACAAGAACACAATCCAGAGTAAGTTTACTTTTGTTTATTGGGCCCGCACTTCGCGAGATTGGGACAAAAGTTGAATTAAAGCGCGCCTTAAGTGCCGGATAAAATTGCATGCCGTTTCGGGGGTGAAAGTTAAGTCAATTTACGGCCAGAAACTTGGCCTTGAGGGAATTGGGGACGCAAGAGTTACTGTAACTTCTCTTTCAATCTTTTCTTCAAACTTTGTCTAGTGTAATAGAGAAGTGGCGCATTTTCATGTTTCTGCCCTGAAAATAGCTCTTAGATCCGCGAACAGGCCCATCGCGAAGCACTTGTCCATCCTCCAAATTACTCGTTAATCCCGCTTTTACGGTACTTCATTGTCTAATTCACTAAAGTTTTCGGGCGCGCAGGTGCCGTTCGGGGTCTTAGTTTCATGTCCAAAAAAGTCTAATGTGTTTCCGGTGGGGCCGATGGATTAACGGCGCAAGCGAGAGGGCGAGTTTTTTTACAGTCTCGCGACCATCTGCTTGTAATCAAGCCCAGGTGAAGTCGGCAGGCATCGAATGACGGCCCACAAATTAAGGTGGGTAATTTCAGATGGCGGCCTTCCGGTCCGACAAATATTGAGCATGAGTCCGGGGTGTTTGGCCGCGAAGATGGTCAAACATTTGGCATGTAATGTGGCCAAACATTTCGCTGTTGACTTTATGATTTACGGCCGAAGATGGCCAGGTACCATCTTCGGCCGCTAAAAGCCGGTAATCGGATCTGCCAAAAGTCGGCGTTCTTAAGTTACACCGTGCTGTTTTCACACACAACTTGGCCTCCGAAACCGTCCCCGGAGTGGGGCCGAGGGCGAGGAAATCGCGGCTTCCGAGTGCACCGTGCAATGAATCAGCGATCGTTTGAATGCACGATGAGGGGGGTCCTGGGTGTGTCACATGCAGAACAATCGACAAAGAGGCAATTGATTGGGTCGGGCGAGCAGAGCCCAAAGACAGGACCGCGGTCTGGGACAGAGAAGGGAGTGGTGGGGGCCAGACAACTTGATCCCATTAGGACACATTAAAGGGGAGAACAAACTAAACAAAGTTTGGACATTACTGTAGACCGGAGTTATATTTAGATTACATCAAAATTCAGAACAATCACAACAAGTTCATGAATAACGAATTTCACAATTTTAAACCGGCCCCTACGGCTATGGAATGAAATGAGCCATCAAATTTTGAATACAGTAGAAAGTTTTTTAACTTTACTTTTTATTGACATGTCATCCAGTCTAAGATCTTCTGACAGGTTTAATTAAAACTTGGAGAGGCCACAAGTTCTGACGAGCCTTAATTTGCATGTGATTATAATTCCCAGAAGATGGTTGCGTGAGAAGTCCAACTTCTCGCCTCTTCGAGCATAGAATAATACCAAATTTACTGCAATATGAACTTCCTTTCACCCTCTAATAATAATAATTCTTCCGAATCCCGCACTTCTCGCTAAATGCAATTAAGAAAAGTCCGGCCAAGTATTCGAATAAGATTTTGTTTCAATAAGAAGGGCCACAGATGTGCGCAAATTCCATAATAAGTTCCGTTATACGATAACTTGGCCGGCACCGTACTTTTCTTTTGTTCGAAATAGAATTCTCATTAAAAACGGGAATTTTTATGAAAAAATTTTCGAAATTCATTTTTCGAGGGAAAACTGGAGGTCCAATGTAGGATAAAGAAGATGGGAAATTTGTGGGACTAGTAAGACTATGTAGACAATAAGTTTTTGTGATGACTTAAGACTAGTTTAGGATCATTTTAACTTGTTTTTTGGGCTCTAAAAAAATCTGTTGTTCAAGATATTGTACTGGCTCTCGGCTTGACCTCGGCTTTTCTCAATCTCCCTCAATCTTTGGCCACATTCATGGGCCACCGAAATTGGTGGTTCGACCTTCCTGTCCGGCTGTTTTTATAAATGAGTGGAGCCGTTGTTTGAGTTTGGCGCGCGAAAAAATAAATATGGGATGGAGAAGGAAAACGGGGCAAGGAAATTGAGAGGTTCAGGCTGGATATCCGTCAAGTTTGGCAGGGATGTCTTTCTTTGTGCTGTCATGGCTGACTGAGTTGCGTAACGGTGTGCGGGGCTGGGGTAATCGGGGGGCGACGGGCGGTTTGAGGTCAATTTGCAGGGGAAGTTCGGGTTACAGTAATTGGGAGCGGTTTTTTGGGTCTTTAGCTTGATTTTGAGCGTGTAAATGGACAAAAACAGTCTCAAAACGTAGAAGGGGCATTTAGGACAAAAATGGATTATTAACAAAAATTCGGAAAATTGCCAGAGGCAATCTAGGCTCAAATTAATTTTCAAAATGAAAAATGATCCCCCAAAAAATTTTTGCCCTTTTCGACTGGTAGAACGGACTTTTCGAGCGTAAATTTATTTTTTAAATACGGATTACTAGCTTCAACCCTACTTAAAATTCAAATTCATGCCAAAAATCCCGTTTTTTGTCCCTCAAAGTTGCTTCGAATACCGTAACCCAAGTTTCCCAGCCCCCAAATTATCATCGGATTCTTTTTTTAAACCCCGACGCCAAAGTGGTTTTTGTTTTAAAAGGGGTCTAAGTGAAGTCTCGAGAAGTGTTCCGTCCTTCCATTTGGCCATGTTTTTTTATAAATTTTCTGATTCCATTTCGACGGAAATGGGATAATTCATCTGGAGAATGGCGCACAAAGACTGAAACCTTTGGATCCAATTTTTGACACTTTGCTGTAAAAAAGTGGGGCCGCAAAGTAAAGTTGAAAGGGATACGGTGGAAGGGAGGGGTGTGGGAAAGTTGGAGGGAAAGTTAAGAGTTGAACAAACATTGGGGATGGCTGACACAAGTAAACATCACACCAAAGACAAAGTTGTCTGCAGGTTGTCATAACGCATCTTAAATTAACATCAAGTCAAAAAATAATTTTTTAAGCACTTCTCATCTAAAAATTATAATTTTCAGTGCTAGCCCTGCAACAAGACACGATTCTGCATTGTCAAACCCCCGGATGCACTGGAAAAGGTCATGTCAATGCCTCAAGATCTTCTCATCGCTCTCTAAGTGGCTGTCCCATTGCTCATCAGCAAAAGTTGGCGAGAAAAAATGTAAAATTATCGGATCCCCGAAGCCCCAATTCGAGAAATTCCTCAATGCATTCAAGAGGAGCTACTCCAATTTCCAATGAAGCCTCGAGCCCCAGTCCCTCGGATTCCGCGGGCTTGGCCAGATTGCTTGGACACTTCGACGAGACCCCGCTGGATTTGAGTCTGAAGGTCAAGGATGATGCTAGGTAAATTTATCAAAACTTTTGCGAAAAGATGGTTTTCATTAACACCAAACACGAAGTAAATGTTCCAAATCTTGATTTTTTCAGCAACTCCGACAACGAGAACAAGGCTGTTTCGATCCTGGACTTCCTCCAAAGCCACAAGAACAACATGGAAGCCGAGAAAGCGAGATTGTCCTGGCCAGTGTCCACAGAATCCCCGATTCAGAAACTTTTGGAACAAACGAACGGAAGGAATCCTGTTCAAGGTAATTTTTGTTTCTGAAAAATTTTCACTATGCAAGATTAAGCCCGTATTTTACAAGAGAAGCCCTTCTGATTGGAACTCCGCTGTTATTTTTATTTTTCATAGGAATGGAAATAGCCACAAATCAATCCCTTGAAGCGTTTTTGATTTTTTTTTTGAATTTTTGAACTCAAGGAACTGCTCATAGTGAATCCCGAAATGATTTTTAAGATGATGTTTTAGATTTGAGGCAACTTTGTTCAGTTTTTATTCGCCTAACAGACTTTGTTTGTCAGAAAATAAAATTTCTTTTGTCATTTTTTCATTTTTGATCCTTTTTTGTAAAATACTCTGCTTCTTTCATTCGCCTTTATCATTCCAAGACTAAACTGCTTTTTTGATATTCCATTTTCCCCTTAACCTTTAAAATTTCAGAATACCTCGCCCTCCTATCCTCTGGTATGATGAACAACTTCGCCCTGCAAAACCCGGCCCTCCAGCCCAACTTCCTCTTCCCGAATCCATTTCTGGCCGCGCTGAATGGCCAGTTAGCCAGTTCGGAGAAGAAATTGCAGCTGAACCAGGTGTTCCAGTTCCAGTCCAGTCCAGCCAACCAGTCCACTTGAACTCATCCCAAAGTAGTGCTATGTAATTTCACTTTAAAGTCTTCGGTTCTTCACCTTTTCGCTTGTCCCCCCTACATGCATAATTGCAAGCGAAAGGTTTTAATAAAACTGCTGTATTTCCCATTGTAATATCCCAAAGATTCCTCGTCAAATATCACTGAAATTAAGTTTGTTGTGTTGTCTCAGTCGCGACATAATATGTTCATATTGGAAGGCTCTCTTCTCTCTTCTTCAAGGTGTATCTATAATATCCAAATTTTAATTTAATCCCGTCGTAAATAAATTTATTATTTTTTTGCTTACTTTAATATAATCATCGACGATTTTTATTGTTTTTATAACGAGTGCCAAATCGCAATGTTGTTGATTGTTCTCGTAATCGGTTGCGCAATCAAAAACAATGCGAAGAAATTGATTCCGATTCAAGCGAAATTATGAACAGAGAAGGGAAAACATGTGGCATTTCGGGTAACAAAAATATGATGGGAACAAGACTTTTTCGAAAAGAGATACGGTAATGGGATCATTAAAGCGTGAAAGGGGAACTTTGGGCGATTCAATGGGGGCGATGGAGGGCTGTGGCGAATAAACAAAGTTTTGAAGCGATCCTAGACGCTAGGCCAATCAAAAATACAGTACGGGTAGCTGGTATAACTTTCTTTTCAAGTCAAATTCGTTGGAAGCTGATTGCTAAATTTTGATGCGACATGGTACAAAATAAGGCCAAAGTTTTCTATGACGTACAGACGACACTTAGCGTGCGCTTTGCAGAAACAAATGAGTTTTTTCGACGTTGCATAAATTCAATTTTTTTTTGAGTTTTTTTCGGGATACAGCATATATTATATTAGCACTATCTTGGATTATATATTCTCAAAAAATAAAATCCGGTTGAACTAAATTAACAGTTATATTCGTCATCATTTTTTCCTCTGAATGTCTCTCCTCATTTCCTCTAGTCTATAGCAAACAATTTTCACTGGATTTCAGCAAAAGATAAAATGTTTGAAAGACACGTAATCCCATACGACAAACAGATGTATTCTCGTCGCCGGTTACAAGCAATCCATGCCTACCGAAGCCAACAGATTGCCCAACCTCCTTGCGCAATGTTAATTGTTTGCTGTGGCATGAACTCATTATGTAATTGGCATTTCTGCACTGCTTCCGCTGATTGCCTGAGCAAACTTTTGAATCGCGCTCCATCTTATGCTCAAACAAAGTCTCGAATGACACTTAAATTAGGCATATGGGAGTGATCGCGGCGTTTGATTGACGGCATGCAAACTTGAGCGCAGATGCCGAGGACAGGGGTTGTGTCCGAACAGTGCACCTGAAACAAACAGTGCACCTGGCTGAACGGGGCACCTGAGCGAACGGTGCACCTGACACATTTTGAACTGTGCACCTGGGCGAACGGTGCACCTGGGTGAACAGTGCACCTGGGCGAACTTCGGGACAGGGAAAAAGGATTTTTTTGGAAAATTTTAATAAAATTTGAAAGGTTTTCGCTTCGGGACAGGGAAAAAGGATTTTTTTGGAAAATTTTAATAAAGTTTGAAAGGTTTTCGCTTCGGGACGGGGAAAAAGGATTTTTTTGGAAAATTTTAATAAAATTTGAAAGGTTTTCGCTTCGGGACAGGGAAAAAGGATTTTTTTGGAAAATTTTAATAAAATTTGAAAGGTTTTCGCTTCGGGACAGGGAAAAAGGATTTTTTTGGAAAATTTTAATAAAATTTGAAAGGTTTTCGCTTCGGGACAGGGAAAAAGGATTTTTTTGGAAAATTTTAATAAAATTTGAAAGGTTTTCGCTTCGAGACAGGGAAAAAGGATTTTTTTTGGAAAATCTTAATAAAATTTTAAATGTTGAAATGTTTTCGTTTCGGGACCAGGAAAAAAGAATTTTTTGTGAATAATTGAAAAGAATTTGAAAAGTTTTCGCTTCGGGAAAGGGAAAAAACATTTTTTTGTATGTGAAAGGATAAATATGACAAGGGGGGATCAATGTAAGCCGTTTTTACCAATTTTTTTTCTTGTGAAGAACTAAATATGACAAAGGGGATCAAGGTAACCTGTTTTTTCTGACAAGGAAACTACTTCTATGGGGTATGGAGTTACAGGTCGAGATATATATCAAAAAAATTGCAAAAATTTTCTGATTCAGAATACATAAAAATTAGCTGCCTAATTTTGGTTTAATGACATGTTTTTGTCCTCAGAAGTTTTCTCGCGACACCATGCAAGTGTCTTTTTGACCATGTTTTTACCAATAAAAAATTTGTTTTGTGCTAAAATAAACTCCGAGGCCTTGACAAGCGAAAACATTTCAAAATTTTTAAAAATTTTCCAAAAAACTCCTTTTTCCCTGTCCCGAAGCGAAAACCTTTCAAATTTTATTAAAATTTTCCAAAAAACTCCTTTTTCCCTGTCCCGAAGCGAAAACCTTTCAAATTTTATTAAAATTTTCCAAAAAAATCCGTTTTTCCTGTCCCGAAGCGAAAACCTTTCAAAATTTTAAAAAATTTTCCAAAAAAATCCTTTTTCCCTGTCCCGAAGCGAAAACCTTTCAAATTTTCTTCAATAATGCACAAAAAAACTTTTTTCAAGGTGCACCATTCGCCTAGGTGCACTGTTCAAACAAGAAAATGTCAGGTGCACCGTTCAGCCAGGTGCACAATTCACCCAGGTGCCCCGTTCAGCCAGGTGCACAATTCACCCAGGTGCCCCGTTCAGCCAGGTGCACAATTCGTCAGGTGCACCGTTCGGACCGAATCAGGACAGGTGGCCAAGTTGGTGCGGGGACACCTGCACTTTATCCATCTTCGGAAAAAGTTTGGAGATCGAGATCAGACGGCGTGATCTAATCTTGCGCAATCCCTTACAATAAAGAGGTGTTCGGAGAGGCGTTTTGTGGAAGAAAGTGCGAGGAAATCAAAATATAATTTGCATAACGAGCAAGGTCCTGGCAGAGGGAACGATTAGATTTTATCTTGGAGAAAAGCAGCACAAGCCATGTAATTATCAACTCTACCGAATATAAAGACAAAAAACAATTACTACCTCTGCAGATCAATCGCTTTCACTTGATTGGCTATACATTGCAAGCCGCAGGAGTCGGATAACATGAGATATTTTCCCCCGCAGCTCCACTGGAATGTTTTCTCCCCCCAACGCCGGTATTTTTTGGAATTTTTTGTTCGAACCAGCTGAATTGAAGACGGAATTCTCGAGATATCTCACTTCTCAGCCCCTCTCTTCCCTATCAGCACTCCCTTCGCCCCGATTCCTTCCGCGGCGCCGTCGATGTCGAGAATTTCGGTTTCGCCGGTCTAACTGGCTCTATTACGTTTTTGCGGTTTTTTGGCGATATATGTTATATAACTGTTAGCTTTACATGTTTCGCTTTCGGAGGTTGTTTTTGATAAGCGATTGTGGTTTCGGTCACTTTGATAATTAAAAAAATTGAAGTTACTCTTATATTTTATATTGTTTTAGATATCAGCAGATGATTATGATCAGATAAAAGGAATCCTCGGTAAACGTGTGACGATCATGGACTCACAAATTCTCGAGGAGTAAGTAGAGTTGTTCTTGCTTATTCTTTGATATCTTTTGATGCCTTATTTGACTCAAATTTTAGTTTCAAAGTCAGCAGTACCCGACAGCGTCTAGAGTCATGTATTCAGGACATTCAACAGCTCGATGCCTTAAGGCTGAAACACAAATTGCTCATAGAGGTACATCATTCATAAATATGCTTCGTATTTTACATTAACTGAATGAATATTTCAGCAACTCCGCCGAGATTACCCTTCCATGAGATCGTTTATGCAAAGTCTGGAGGACTCGGATGACTCCCAAACTCACAGCCCTAGAAGTCAGGATTCTGGGTCCCAACAAACTTCGGGCAGCTCGGACAGTGGCTTCGGACATAACCGGTTAGATTTAGATCATCCCAACAACTACCCTTTGCATTAAAAGTAATTTAATCACATCTATCTTCAGCGATCAAAGCATGACCTATAGCAACTTCCGAAAGCTCTCTCTGGAAGAACGCAAGGACCGAAAGAACGTCCTAAACAGTGGGCATCTCGTTGAGAACACTCTGAAGAATCTAACCACACAATTTAATCCAGTATTACCGACAACAAGCTGGACTATGAGATCAAAGGGACCCTTGGATACAGCGAATCGACCACACAGTTGTTATGGGAAAATGGAACAGGAGAATGGAAATGGAAGGCCTTCAAGTTTGATTGTGACTTCAAAGAGAGGATCGAGGATTCTCGACTCATTCGCTCAGCTTACTCCACCTCCAGTTACTAGGAAATTCGCGACGGTTCAGCCTCCGATCAGGGCTGATGGACCGCCGAAAGTTATGGTAAGGAGGGCATACGAGACAACCTCGATTTACTAAGCTGGCCCATGGATACAGTGACGCACCCGATCCAGTGGCAAAAAACGTAGCATTTTGCATCCGGGAAGCATCAAAAATGTGGCAAAATGCTTCCCTCTCCAAGTGAAAAAACTTCATTTTGAAGGGCCCTTTCCCTTACAAAAAGAACGGGCGCGCTTTTGAAATCGGTGTTTTGACACTTGGAGAGGGAAGCATTTTGTCACATTTTTGATACTTCCCGAATGCAAAATTTTTTGCCACTGGATCAGGTCCCCCACTGTAATATGGAGAATGGGGTTTAAAATACGAAATGCTTTATGAATAGTTTTTAAAATACGGAGTAGCATATCTCTTCCATTGTAATCCCACATTTCAGGTGAGGCCCACCCCCGAAAAACGTGAATCCATCCTCCAAGTGAAGCCGCAGACCCTCCTGAACAACCGAAGTCTCCAAAAAGCCGAATTATGTTCGCCCACAGTATCCAAACCCCCTTGCCCGCCAACGCTAACCCCCTCAACAAACTCAGCGTTCACTGCGAGAAGTTTGAACAATCTGATTTCGAATAATTTGAGTACCAGAACAGCCAACAACAACACTCCCTGTCTGCAGAAGGGGATCAAGAAAACGTCTTCTTTTGAGATTCCTACTGTAACACCGTTCAATTGGAAGAACTGTTCGATGGTCGAGGAGGTTCCCCGGAAGCCTTCGATGGAAGTTTATGGGCCATCAACGACCTTGCCAACGCAAAATTCGAAAATTTCGAATTTCACTTCAAATAGACCCTCAGGCAACAATAATGTGTCGCAATTCGAAAAGTAAGGATTTTTAAAAGTCATTCACATTTAGTCGATGGAAAAAGAACGTGGCCTCGGTCCCGCCCACAATTCAAAAGTGCGAACCCAATCCTCCGGCGATTTCTCGGATGACTCCGTTGCCGAAAATCGAGAACGCGACGTTGACCAAGGCCCATAGTAACACTGGAAAGTTCACGTCGTCGTGCTCTATCGCGATTAGGCAAGCTTTATTTTCCATTTTTTTTTGATGTTGCACAGTGCAAGTCTAAAAAATTTCCGCACTGTGAAAAATCCGAAAGTTCTCCGCACTGTGCAAAAAAAGCTCAAAAAATAGAAATCTCCAAATCAAAAATTTCAGTGTCCCCTCAAAGAACCCGAATCGACCAGTAATCCGAGTCCGCCGACCCAAAGAATGGCACGAATCGGACTTGTAGAACACCAACAATATCCATCTGTAGTACAACACACATTGTTCATACCTCCACTTTCATTGTAACAATATTTATTACAATCTGCAGACCATTTAGAGATATAAATAAGACCAAATTACATTGGAATTGATATGAAAAATTGAGAATAAACATTATGCCTTGAATAATTACTTTTATGATTTTTGAGGGTACCCGATCGAGGAGAAAATGCAGAATAACAATATAGGAAAAAACAACAATTTCTGAGTGCAGTTATCGTACTGTCTATAGGGATAACACGCAATTTTCAAAATTCGAAAAAAAAAAATAAAATGCAAACTATCTAATATACTCTTAAACCTAGAGCTCCTCCCGATTATGAGACCATCCATATTGGCCGAGGATTCGATGAGTCAAATCGACCAGTTGATTCGCATCTTGAGCGTGTAATCTGATCCCGCCGGCGGGATTTCGTCGTCCTTGAGAATAAAGTTTGATCGTCGGGTATGCCTGGACGCCGGCTTGGGCACAAATATGGGCATAGTCCACACAATTCACCTTTCCAAACTTCACTTGACCTTCCAGCATCTAAAACAACAATGTAAAAAAATCATCAAGATCTTGCAAATTGATGCAAAATTTCTCACTCTGGCCGCTTGTTCGTATACCGGTGCAAACTGGATGCAATGAGAGCACCATGGAGCCCAATAATCGATGATCCACGTGGCTTTGGTGTCTTCGTTCATTGCGAATTCCATTGTTTCGTCGTTGAGGTCTTCCACAACGGAGGGGAGGAATTGGCTGAACCATTGGATCATTGTTCGATGGTCTCTCCACCAGTTTTGAGGGTAATCACTGAAAAACTCGTATAACGAAACGTGTGTTTTATAAACATCCACCATGGCCATTAAAAAAATTTTTACCAAAAAATTCAAATTTTTAATTTTTACAAAATCCGCCTTTCTATCAAGTCAAATACTAAATAAACCTACAAGGCCTCTCCGCCATTCATTTTGTAGACTCTGACCGTCGGATATCCCCGGATTCCATTCGAAGTGCACAATGATTTGTGCTCATCGCAATTTACAGTGCCAAAACTGATCAAATCATTCTGTTCTTGCATGATTCTAGCAGCTTTTTTGAACTCCGGAGCAAGCTAAAATAAAATTCACATAAGAAAAATTAATTTCATTAAAAACTTTAAGAATTTGATATCAAGTATTAGGTTGATGCATAATTATCCGGCGTTTTTATTGGCGCCTTTTTTGTTAGTTGAAATTCGCGTTTTGTTAACTTCTTTTCATGAAAATAATCTTCTTTATTTAGTTAATAAAATGCAATGCAAAAACGCGCCAATAAAAACGCCGGATAATTATGCATCAACCTAATACAATATAATTTCTTCATATAATTTTTAATTCTTACCTGTTGACACGGTCCACACCACGGAGCGAAGAAATCGACCACCCAGATTTCGTTATCCTGCTTTTTGACAATAAATTCATCGAACGAAATGGGGTTCAGTTCCACGACTGACGGATGGAAAGCCTCTTGGATGAACTCGATAATCTGATCTTTCCCATGATATCCGATCAATTTCGGGAACTGAGAGCCATAAAAAAGCATTGATGTGGGATAAGATTGGATCAGATGTTCTTGACAGAGCCTCTTGTAGACATCGCAATCAATGATCCCGACCTTGACCCTTCTGCTCTCAATCTCCTCGGGCAATTGGGATAATTCGGTTAAAGCCAGCATGCACGGATGACACCATGGGGCGAAGAAATCGATCATCCATACAGTTTCTATGTCCTTATCATACTTTGCGTGCAGTTCGTCAAAAAGATTTTCGGTCAGCGAAATCATTGATGACTTTTTGGCACTTCTCAAGAAATTCAAGGCATCTTCCATTGTGTCTTTCCGCCCGTAACTGATCAGATAGTGCCCTGAGGCTCTGAATAAAACCACTTTCGGCAATGCTCCCAGCTGTAGACCATCACAATTGTCCGATAAAGTTCCACAATCCGCTATTCTGACGATCGTTTCCTCCGCCAAATAGGGTAATTTCTTGTAATCACCCGTCTGATAGTTACGAACTTTGTCGGAAGTGGTGAAAATGACCAAAACATCCTTTTCTTTGGGCTCTTCCATCGTGTCGAGGATCGTTTTGTATTCTTGATCGGACAATTCTGGGACTGGATTCAGCAAATCGATAACTTCATTGTAGATTTCATTAATTTCGAATCCATTCGTCAACTAAAACGAAGCAATTTAAAATTTAAAAGATCGCAAACATTTTTTAAACCCCAAAAAATCCATTTCCCACATCAAAAAAGTGGAAAAAGAGCCTTAGCCCGATGCGGGGCTCGAACCCGCGACAGCCAGATTAAGAGTCTGGTGCTCTACCGACTGAGCTAACCGGGCACACTCCGGCCTTTTTTATTTTCCACAAAGAGAAAGAGGAAGGTTTTTGGAAAAGGCGGGAGAAGTGATCCTTTTTCTTCTTTCATTTTTTCGTTCCATTAGACCTAAACTCTCAAAAATCTCATAAAAAACGACCTACCACTTCTTGATCTTTGTCAATTTTGCCTGCCGGATAGAAAGCCATGCCCTCCGACCTCAACTTCTCACATAATCTGTCCTGACTTTCCCCACAATTCACTGTGGCGACATTCACAACGTCTCTCAATTTGTGCGCCAACACTTTTCTCTCAATCTTATCCATACATCTGTCGTTTTCACCGCAAAAGTCGACCAGCCAAGGTCTATTCAGGTAGGGTTGCCATTCCGTTGAGAGGGATTCATAATTTCTATTTGTGAGATGATGGATTTCCACCTTAATCATGTCAGTCACAAATTCGGACAAGGCTTCCAGGGATCGCTGGCCTTGGAAGAAGGCGTGTTCTGGATACACAACCAATGATGGGTACCCTCGGACATGTTGGGATTGGCACAAAACGGGGTCCTCGGCACAATTTACGGCTCCCACTTTGATTGTTCCATGGAATTTACGAGCGAATTCACGCCACTAAAAATTAAAGTGTAAAATACGGAAATATTTCTTTTTTCGTTTCCAAAAAATGCGATCTTACAGTAGGAGCGAGATCATGACAATGTGAGCAAAACGTGGAATAAAAGTTGATGAACCAAAAATCTCCGCTTGAGATGACTTTCTCTTGGAAATCATTGCGATTCAGCGTCACAATCTCCGGATCGTCGTCGTAAATACCTAAAAAATAAATAAAAAAATAAAATTTTGATCACTTACCAAATTTATCATTATAAAATTCCCAGCTTTGATACTGATTCCCGGACTCCTGGTTGTCTTTCAGGCCCTTTTCTCCGAACTGATCGTACTTTCGACGAAGTTCCGGGTCTTTTAGGACTTCGTACGCTCGATTTATCTTGATAAATTCATTATGGGCCTCTGGATTGTCCTAAAACAATACAAAATATATTGATTAATACAAATTAAAGCATTCCAAAGCCTTCAAAAACTTGCCGGGTCCTTATCTGGATGTTTTGTAATGGCCAATTTCTTGAAAGCCCTTCGTATCGTCCGATCATCGGCATCTCTTTTGACTCCCAGAAGAATGTAGTAGTCGGTGTCTGATAAAACGGCCACGGGGATTAGCAGAAACCCAAGTAAGAAGTGCCGAAACATCTCTGGAATCAAAAATTATAATTTTAGTCAAACACTATGATGATTTTTATAAAAATCACGCTAAACGGATTGATCGCGATAAAATTATCATCTTTTTTATTCAAATCCACGAGATTTTTTTCACGTTGAACTAGACGAACACCCAAATCCTACAATTCATGAGTGATATTACTATTAATAAATATATGAATTCAATAAATTTGACAATAAAGACCATAATTGAATAATATTGTGGTATTTAACGGGGTTTAAAGGCCACGTCAGCGTAATTCTAAGGAATTTGGAGCTAAGAAAGTGGGTGAAAGAAACGTGAACGAACAGATCGCGTCAAGGAAGGAAACGGAACTTGTTTTAACTTGTTTCTCACTTCAAAAAATCCAGGGAACGATCATTTCACGTGAAAAAGGCTCGGCGTCCGTTTGCCGAATACTTTTTAGCCTCTAAATTTTTTCAAATCAAAAGAAATTCTTAAAGTTTTAGGTTAAATTAGACTAGCTTGGACTTAATAAAGCACTCTAAAAAAATAATTTTAAAAATGCGTTTTCCTAAAGCTACAAAAAAAATTCATTAAAATGGAACAGATCGCTCTAATAAAACTCAGAAAATCTTCGCTTTTCGCTGTCTACTGGCACGCACTGACCCCGCGCAGAGCCCATTCATCCCCGATCTCTGTCTTCCTCTTCCCGACTGACCGCAAAACAAACGGACGTGAAGGTGAAGTGGGGATGTTCCCTGGGCCAAGCAGCAAGAGACAAGTTTGGGGACTCTTTAACCTTCATTCTATGGCCATTAAATGCATACGGAAATGGGCCGCGAAACATGGATCATGCAAGGATATCAGCAAAAAAACTGGTTAATAAGTTTGAATAAAACTTAATTGGAGCAAGAATCCGGCATATACAACGCCTTGACAATAAATACAACCCGTTTATTTTTGTAAATATCACAAAAAATATATTGCACACGCCATTGAAAACATTTCAGTCGATTCCAGGCATGATTTTAAAATGCTTTCAAATCACGCCTTGTTTCACACCAATCCCAGCCAAAATAAAAGCCGCTCCTAGCAACGTTGGTCCCAAATCCAACTTCTCTCCAAAGAAAAAGTATCCAAAAAGTCCGGTGAATATAAAAGTGAGGGAATTTATGGTACACACAGCCTTGCTAAGGTCTGTCTTGATAACAAAGTAGAGGAACACAACCTAAAAACAAATCCAGAAACAACAAAACAACTTACAGATGCAGATTGATTCAAAGCGAATGGCAAAAGAAATCTCCAGTTCTTGAAATGACCCCAGAGATCAACAAACGGTCGGAGATACCATGGTTTGAGCTGGGTCTTCCTAGAAGTGTCCATACCTATAACGAAACTTCGTTTTACTTTTCTGAAAGAGTGCCTTTACCGTCTTTCTTGACATTATCCTTCTTTTCCCTTGTTGCTTTGGCCATCCAGACATTCGTATATCCCCAAACTGCTGCCAGAAGTAACATTCCAATAAAATCCGTGTATTCTGAGGTCATTTTCGCCCGCAAACGAGTGGAATTTCGACAAAAAACAAGGAAAAAATTCTTTAAAAATAATTTGGGCGCAGTTCGGATAGATTTGCTTACGCAGTCTGCGAGAAATATTTTATACGACAAAATACACAGTTATCAACGGAAATATTTCGTTTTTTTAATAATAATTACATATTGTTCAGCAAGTTATCCCTTTGTCGAGTATATCTACACCTTGGATCGTGTACATTACAGGTGTTTGGTTGAGTATAAGACGGGAAATCGATCGATTTTACATCCTTGAATACTGCTGGCCTGGCCCCGATATCTTTTGTCAGCCAGAATTCGTCTATGACTTTCTTCTGTCTCTCCACAGAAATCTGTTCCATATACAAATGAGTTTTGTTGTGAACATGAAGAATTGAGTATCCATAGTCAACAAAGTGAGCGGCACTCCCAGCAATTGGGTTCGGATCGAAGTAAGAGTGTTTCGATTTACATCCCGCAGATCCAGAGATGATATATGTTGGTGCTGGAGCGTTATGGTATGGGTTGTTTGTGAGGTTATAGACTTTTCGATAGCTGATCGGGAAGAACCGTTCGTATCCATGTTGATGGCCGCAGAATCCAAGGTCAACTCCATGGTCAACGTAAAGCTTCTCGAGACCTGGGATGTCTTGAAATCCTTTTGTCAGCTACAAATCTCACTTTCCAATGTTATAATGGGTCTTACCAGAGTATTTTCGAAGCCATGGCACTCAAAATTATTCGCAGTAGAACAGTAAAACGGTCTATGTTGGAAGGTAATCAGCCATGGTCTTTCATCCCTGACTCTGTTATAATCTTCAAAGTGTTTCTTCAGCCAGTTGTATTGATTGAAAATTGAGTGCTTTCCGTATTTATGGAATAGCCCGTAATATTCAGTGCTAACCCCAACAAAGTGGACTGGACCCACTTCGAAACTGAAACCCCATGAATTTAAAATGAAAAAAATCATTTTACCTATAAAGTTGACTGTCTCCAAATGGATCATTCGGCATGTTGAATCTATTCGAATAATGAGAAAAGTTTCTGCCATCATCTTCATGATTTCCGGCGATGACCATAAGGGGAATTTTGGTGGCAACAGACTCCAATTGGTTCATAAAGATATCGCCTATTCTCCCATCATCAGTATGGAGATCGTATGCTAGATCTCCTAAAGAAATCCTCATTGGACAGTTAAATATATAAATTTACCAAGTAAAACTGCAAAGTCGAATTCATGATTTTCTGCGGCTTCTGCAATGTATTCAAAAGAGATTCCATTTTCGACTCCTAGGTCGCCAAAGAAACAAACTCGGTAAGAATAATTGGGATCGTTGGACAAGGTTTTGAAGGAAAATATCTTACTCCAGGCACCTGCTGAACCGACACTGTAATCTGAAAGGATTCGAAGCGCAGGAAATTATGTACGCTGTACTTTTAAGCTTACAGTAAAACGTTTCTGGAGCCAAATTTGTCATTGCTACATTATGAACAAAACGTGTTATTCCAAAAGTAAAATTATTCGATTTCCCAATTGAATGATGATTTAGATTTTGTTTGTCCATTCCATACAATACTTCCGAGGGTGCTAAATTTAAAACCACTTATAAAGTTATTTAAAAATTGTAGGAGACCAGCTAATATTGCGCCTTACCATCTTCAAAAGTCACCCAATTAACATTAATCGAATCTGGAGAATCGCCCAAGGCAATGTGAACTTGTTCTGGCAATGTGTTGCTTTTGGCATGCAAACTTGTAGACAATATTGCGATTAGAAAAGGTAGCATCCAAATTTGAGATGATGGGGTTTTTTATGAACCTTTTTTTGTAACAATCAGCTACTTTGAAAAGAGGGATTGCCTTTGATAAAACTCTATCAATAGTGTAGACTCCAAATAAATTTGCCTTGCAGAAAAAGTCTCAACTTTTATTCAATTCTACATTATGGTTTATTAAACAAATTCCTTCGTTTTCTGCTGAATCTACATCTTGGATCTCTTACATTACAGGTGGTAGGCTCTATATACGGAGGAAATTCAATGGCCATATGGTTTTGCGCCCTTTCCATTGATGGCCAGACATTTAGGTCCTTTTTGAGCCAGAACTCATCAATAACTTTCTTCTGTCTCTCCACGGAAATCTGCTGCATATAAAGATGTGTTTTGTTGTGAACATGCAGCACAGAATATCCGTAATCAACGAAACGAGCCGCACTTCCGGGGATGGGATTCTGATCAAAGTAGGCGTGCTTTGTGTGACATCCAGCCGCACCGCTGATGACATACGTGGGAGCTGGCGCATTGTAATATGGATCGGCCGTGAGATTGTAGACCTTTCTATAGCTAATGGGAAAGAAACGTTCGTAGGAATGTTGATGGCCCCAGAAACTCAAATCAACGCCGTTGTCAATGTAGAGTTTCTCGAGTCCAGGCATGTCTTGGTAGCCCTTTGTGATCTGAAATGCTACGAACCTATGTCGTAAAACGTCTTACCAGCGTATTTTCAAACGAATGACACTCGAAGTTGTTGGCATTAGAACAATAAAACGGCCGATGTTGGAAGGTAACCAGCCATGGTCGTTGTTTTCTCACCTTTTGGTAATCTTCAAGATGTTTTTTCAACCAATTATACTGTGTGTAAACTGACTGTGGTCCGTACTCATAGAAGAATCCGTAATATTCAGTGCTAATTGCAACAAAATGGATTGGCCCAACATCAAAGCTGTAACGCATTTACTATTACAAAGTAAAAGTTAAATTTACCTGTAAGCCTGACTGTCCCCAAAGGGATCATTTGGCATGTTGAATCGGTTAACATAATGAGAAAAGTTCCTGCCGTCGTCTTCATGATTACCAGCAACAACCATAAATGGGATCCTGCTGGCTATCGGTTCCATTTGGTTCATAAAAATATCGCCAACTCGGCCATCATCGGTATGAAGATCATAGGCAAAGTCTCCTAAAACAGGATGTGGTTCATAGCTGGAGTTTTTGAAGACTTACCAACATCAATCATTAGATCAAACTCGTCATTATTAACGGCTTCGGCAATGTATTCAAGAGAGATGCCGTTCTCCACTCCCAGATCACCAAAAATGCAAATTCGGAAAGAGTAATCAGGGTCGTCGGTTAAGGTCTTGAATGTGAAAAGTCTACTCCACGAATCGTTGGATCCTACTTTGTAATCTGAAAGCAGAAAATTACTGAGGATACAGGGTGAGAATATCCTTACAGTAAGTCGTTTTTGGTCTTAGATTTGTCATAACGGCATTATGGATGAACCTGGTAAGACCGAATGTAAAGTTATGAGTCTCTCCGATTGATTTTTGATTCAAATCATCTTTATTCGTTCCATAAATCACTTCAGAATCCGCTGAAATAAAGTGTACTTTCTGATCTCTCAGCCTTCTTACCATCCTCAAAAGTAAGCCAATGAACTCCCATGGAATCTTTCTCATCCCCTAAGGCAATATGGACTTGCTCTGGGACAGGGAGACATTGCGCAGTGACCAGAAGACATATTAGAGTTACTGAGAAGGTTAACATTCGGGAACTATCGTGCCCCCTTTTAGCTAGAGGACGTGAGAAACTCCTGGGCAATCAAAGATTGGAAAATGATTCTGATTGATAAGAATAAATTGAAAACGAAAAGTGAGTCTAGCCACAGGGTGAATGTTCTTTATGTACGAACATTGTGTTAAAACTTATTCATTTGCAAGTGCATGTTCTGTCGTCTTACAATGTGTTTTATTTAGAAAAATTGTTCTTTCTTGGTTGTAAAACAAATTTATTAATTATTAAATTGTCACGTATTCCACTTTACAGCCCTAAAACTTCTGTTAACAGTTTCTTATCTTCCTCCAGTTCCGTTGCTCTCAGTTTTTCGCATTCTTCCTTGATGTTCTGATACAAATCGGTGCTCAAATACCTTTCGCCATAGCTTGGGAGACAAGTAACAATCAGCTTTTGTTTGTTCTCTGGCCGTTTTGCTAACTAAATGGTCAGTAAAAACTATAGATGATTTTGTTCTCACCTGAAGAGCCGCACAGACGTTTGCACCACTGCTAATCCCACATAAAATCCCTTCTTTAGTTGCCAAGGTCTTTGCCATATTGATAGCGTCCTCAGATTTAACCCTAAGGGCCTCTTCATAAATGGGCTTAATGTTCGGCGTGATGGTTCCGGACCCAATTCCTTGGATTAAATGCTTCCCAGCTTCGAATCCATTGATGACGGAAGATTCATAAGGTTCCACGGCATACAACTTGATATTGGAATTCTTTTCTTTCAAGAATTTCCCGGCCCCAGAAAGAGTTCCGCCAGTTCCGACACCCAGAACAAGGACATCCACTTGACCATTGGTCTGGTCCCAGATCTCAGGGCCAGTAGATTTGTAATGGCAATCAATATTGCTCTCTCTGACATACTGGTTTAGGAAGAAGCAATTGGGAATGAATTTTTGGAGCTCTTCGGCTTTTTTGATTTTCCCTTCGAAGCCGGCTTTATGATCCACAAGAATGACCGTTGCACCATGTGCTTTGCAGAGAATCCTCTGTAAAAATGTTCTGTTATGCTATTTTGTCGCTTACTCTCTCCAAGCTCATTGAATCAGGGATCACAAGCACAAGTTTGTATCCTTTGATTGCGCAAGCCATCGCAAGACCGATCCCCATATTGCCGGAAGTTGCTTCTAAAACAACATCCCCGGGCTTTAATGCCCCCGATTTCTCCGCATCTTCTAGCATGTGGACAGCTGGACGATCTTTTACTGACATCGATGGATTTATGTACTCAAGTTTTACCGCTAAAAGTAAACTTCGTTCTCTAAAATCATCAACGTTTTCTTACCAATTTTCGCTTCCAAACCCTCGGTGATTTTATGCAGATAGACCATTGGAGTGTGGCCGACAACGTCAGTCATATCCTTGGCGATCCTCTTTGAAGTTTCCTTTGTTGGCAGCATTTCAAATAAAATTTCAAAAATGGAAGAAAACAAACTTCCCCTTGGTTTTAAAGGTGGAGTTGTTGATGGGGTTTACAAAACAAAACGTGAAATTCTCGAAAATAAAACAATAATCAAAACAAAGATCAAAATCGATCAGTAAAAGAACCTTATTTGATTACCATGTTTATTGAGATAAATACTTATTTGTAACCGAAATGCGACATGCTTAAATTAAAGTTCTAAGCCCCATAAATTCTTGAGATTTTGTTTGTCATCCTCAAGGCTGGTGATTTTTATCGCTTCGCATTCATCCTTGACTGTCTTGTAGAGCAATGTGCTGAGGTATCGTTCTCCAAAACTGGCAAGACAAGTCACAATCAGCTTCCCAGCGTTCTCCGGACGTTTGGCTAGCTGAAAACAAGAATAATATAATTTTATAGCAAAAAATGGCATTAAAACCCAATAAAAACAATTGTAGAACTTTATTTACCTCAATTGCCGCCAGAACATTTGCCCCACTGCTGATTCCACATAGAATTCCTTCTTCAGTGGCCAATCTCTTGGCCATTTCCACAGCATCCGCACTTTTGACTCTCAAGGCTTCTTCATAAATGGGCTTCAAATTGTCTGGAATGATGCCAGCTCCAATTCCGGCGATGGAATGGGACGCTGCAGGAAGTCCGTTGATGACCGAAGATTCATACGGTTCGACGGCATAGACCTTGATGTCGGGGTTCTTTTCCTTCAAGAACGTTCCGACGCCAGTCAACGTTCCTGCTGATCCAACGCCAAACACGACAAGGCCAACTTTTCCATCAGTTTGACGCCAAATTTCGGGTCCAGTGGTGAGATAATGGATGTTCGGGTTGGCCGGATTGGCGAATTGATTGGGGATAAACGACCCGGGGATGGATTTTTGGAGGTCATTAGCTCGCTGGAAGCACTCTTTCATACCCAATGCGGCATCCGTGATGACAACTTGAGCTCCATAAGCTTTGCAGAGCACTCTCTAAATCAATTTGTAGTTGTTTGCATTAGAGGCTAAAGCAAATATTATCATAACACCTACCCTTTCTATGCTCATCGTATGAGGCATGACTAGGATCAACTTATACCCCTTCACAGCGCAGGCCATGGCCATTCCGATGCCCATATTTCCGGAAGTTGGTTCGATGATGACACTCCCGGGCTTGATCTTTCCCTCTCTTTCCGCCTCTTCGATCATATGGGTAGCTGGACGATCTTTTACAGAGCATGCCGGATTCATATATTCAAGTTTTACGGCTTAAAAACATCGGATTATACCCCAAAGAATGAATTCTTCTGTATATGATAAGATGACAAAATCATCAAAAAAATCCCTACCAATTTTGGCATTCAGCCCTTCCGTAACCTTGTTCAAATACACCAACGGAGTATGTCCAATGGCTTCCGTCACATTTTGGCAGATTCTGTCCTGGGTATCTTCCACGGGCGCCATTTCGTCGAGATCTTCAAAACTGAAACAATATAAATCAACCAAAATAAATTTATCGGACCACACCCCGTCAAAACAAGCGTTTCAATCAGGTTTTATGCACTTCAAAAAAAAGACCCTCACGATCAAAAAACAGGTCAAATGGGGGATGTGTCTACAGCAATATAATCCTCTTCCAAAAAAACAGTTGCTAATAATCCAAATTAAACTCGGAACCCATTGAAACTCGGGGGTGTGGGGTCTTTGAAGAGCGTATTTCGTCTTTTTGTTTCACTCATCCCAAAATAATGCGCCGATCAAAGACCGTTCCATATTTTGGAGTGCTTTTCCCTACAAGAACAGTCCCTCCGAGGGAAGAAAAAATCGATTTTCGAAAAGTGGAAACAATGGGAAGAGAAGTTGAAAGGAGAATCTCTTAATGTGATGCAACAAATAAACGATTCGAAGATGACCAAAATATGATCAATGTTTCTTGGTATCAAAATACCGGTGCCCGAAGAAGAGAAGGCGAGATGGACGACGTCTGGGAAAGGTGTGATCGTGGGAAACACAAGGCATATGTATTACTGCGAGGAATCTCTCTTCAAGTCAGAAATTGGACAACAAAACTCCAATCTTTTTACTCAAAGCGCGCTCGCGACGAACTTGTAATGCCCAGGCAGACGGAAAGCTCCATAAAGATCATATTTATATAGCCAAAACCACATGATTAGCAAGTAATTAACAAGAGAGAAACTTGTACTTATAGCCCTGTAAATAATACATACCCCTATTCTCTGGCTTAAAGCTTGGCTAAAGGTTGTAACAATATGACTCCCAGCTTCCTTTATGAATCAGATAATATTTAAAGTACCAGAAAAATGCACCCACCGCCGAAAAAAAGAACTCCAAAACCAACTTTTCGCACAATTTGTATATATATCACCACTCCAAAAAAGGGCTTATCATTTTGAACCCGAAATAGACGTTGTGTCTTGTAACTACGATCATACGAAATGCATTGAATAAAAATGAATTGTCCAAGGAAACCCGAATTTCAATCACATTGAAGCGGTTGTTCATGTTGCGGAGAGGCGTTTTCGAAAAGATTGGGACAATTTGGGGTGTGAGACATGCTCATCAAGAGGCCAGGAAGATTATTTCGGCTTTCCGAACAATGCCAATTAACGATGACATGTTTGGATTGAACAGTGAGCAAAAAATGGTAAGAGGCACGGGGGTTTAGGGGAAAAAGTAAAGCAACGTATAGAATGAATCAAAACACAAAACAGGAGGTTGACATTGATCTCTTTCTTCTTTTATTCTCTGTAAAACACAATTGTGTACGTGCAAGTAAAACATTCTAAACAAATCACAAAACAAACCCACAAACATATCGCATTTCAGCTTCGTCGCTCGGTATTTGAATTCACCCAAAAGGAATTAGCCCCATATGCTAAAGAAATCGATGAGAACGACCATTTCGACCGTCTCCACGAGTTCTGGCTCAAATGCGGAGAGCAGGGATATCTCGGGGCCACAGTTGCCTCAGAATACGGCGGATCTGGTCTTGGATATTTCGACCATTGCTTGATTGTAGAGGAAATTCACCGAGCTTCTGGAGCAATTGGATGTCGCTATGTGAACCACAGTAATCTTTGTGTCAACCAGATCCATAGAAATGGAACTCATGAGCAGAAACAAAAGTACCTGCCTAAAGTAAGATAATATCAGTCTCAAAGATACAGCTCAACAACTTACTGACCGTTCTTTTAGTTATGCAGTGGAGAGCATTTCGGATCAATTTGCATGAGCGAAACTACCGCTGGAACCGACGTTGTGGCTATGCAATGCCGTGCGCGTAAGGAAGGGGATGTTTATGTTATAAATGGCCACAAAATGTGGATTACCAATGGTCCAGACGCCGATGTCTCCGTTCTTTATGCCAAAACAGCTCCTGAAAAGGGAAAACATGGAATCACTGCTTTCATTCTGGAAACTGTAAGCCATCATTCGTCTCTTACTACATGCTTTTGACACCTAGGTTGAGAAGAACAACAATAATACACTTACTTTGATTTAGAACTCCAAGGGAGTTACAAAAATGCCAAAGATTAACAAGATGGGCATGCGGGGCTCAGCCACTTGCCAATTAATCTTCGAAGACGTCGAAATCCCGGCGGAAAACGTACTGGGCGAAGTGAATAATGGAGTTTATGTTCTGATGAGCGGATTGGATCTGGAACGTCTCACTTGCGCCGCTGGATCTTTGGGTATGATGCAAGCTGCTTGTGACGTTGCATTTGATTATGCAAACCAGAGAAAGATGTTCGGCAAAAAACAAAGTGAACTACCTGTAAGAGGGTAGAAGATTTCAGGTAATACAAACCTAAATTTAGATCATGCAAGCAAAAATCGGCGAGATGTATACCAAACTTGTCTCATCTCGAGCCTTGCTTTATGCCATTGCGAGGAGCACATCAGACGGAGCAGTGTCTTCCAAGGACTGTAATGCCGCCTTCTTCCAATGTGGAGAGTTAGCCACCCAAGTTGCGTTGGAAGCTGTTCAGATTTTAGGTACGTACATCACCGATATAACACTTGATTAATTCCAGGAGGAAATGGTTATACCAGAGACTATCCAGCCGAAAGAATCGCCAGAGACGCCAAATTGTATGAAATAGGAGCCGGCTGCAAAGAAATTCGTCTAATTGTGATTGCCAGAGAAATTAATAGTTTCTATGCCTAAAATATTGTGATAAAAAAGAGAAGCGAATAAATGAATTTGGAAACGTTCTGCTTACCTTTACATTGCTTGCTTCCGTTTCTGACAGGAATTCTCGGGATTCCTGTATATTTTGTTTGACATTTTGTTTCGGTAGAGAAATTCAATAAAAGAACAAAATGTAAAAAATGCGGAGAATTTTTTCTTGAACAGCGATATCGCGATTTTGACTTGTCGACTTTGTGAACCTGCAGGCCTGGTTTGGATTACACTCGATTGCGTGAATCGAAAGAGTCCATTTCCATCATCTTTCAGCGAGGTAAGTCCTTCACAAAGTTTTGTATAAGAAATTTTGGGTGTAGGCCACGCAGGTTCTAGAAATTTCCGATATTCCTGTTGGAATTCCTCCTCATTTGGGCCTAAATCATTTCGAATTTACGGTTAAAAAAGTTGTATTCTTGTTTTTCTGAGCCTTGTTACCGTTATTCCAGGAGTTCCCGGAGATGGCTATGAATCGTGAGACTGGAGCAGTTCGTGATGATGCACTGAAGTTATTTGAGTGCAAACCATTTGACGAGTTCGCGAAGAAAGTTTGTCAGAAGATGGCCATCGACGAAAAACTCGGCAGGCCGCCATCAAAATTGTTGTAAGTTTATGTTTATTTTTTTATCCGAGAATTTAGAATAATGGCTTTCCATTTGCACAGCACTAATGGATCTTTTTAGTCGCCGTCCAATTGATTACTATCATTGGTACGTCCTGTTCTATGAGCAACTGAACTACAACCCTGACTTCATCCCTGCCGAGTTCCCGATCCTTTATCCGGAGTGGATGTATCCCTTTGGCGGAATCCCTGAAAAGCTGATGGAAGTGCTCCGCCAGCGAGGAGAATATCCACCACCTGTTCCCCATGATTGACTAACCATTTTTGTAACGTTGCTTTTTCTATCTTTATTTTGTTATATGGGAGTGATATGGCGTTTTATATTAAAACTATTCCTTCGTTACTTGTGCTACGATAGGTCAGGTTTTCTTTAATAATGACTCGAACGAGATTGAATGCAATGATTTATTGGTCAAATCCGCTGTCGAAAATGTACACAGGTCTACTGTAATCTAATAGGACGTTCATCTAGTAGATGAGGGCGGAGGTGGCAAGAGTGTTGACACCGCACACATTCTCTCCACGGTACAGACGGAAGTATCCCTTCTCTCCCCAGCCGGTTCCCCAGGAGTTCTTGACGATCCAGTATGGCTTTCCTCCTTCCTCACCGAATCCAACGAGGAGAACGGCGTGGTTGACACCCTTGGGGTTGCAGAAGAACTTGGGAGGATGGTGGATTCCACCGCTGTAGAACTGAAGAGGGTTGGCGTTGATTCCGACGGAGATGGGGCCAGATTGGAACAAGTATTCCTGGATCTTCTTCTCGTCTTCGGGGAGTTGGACGGAGTCGTTGATGTAGACGGCGAACTCGTACTTGTCGACTTGGCAAGCTCCTCCGCGGCCGGTGTATTTGTAGTCGTCTTCCTTGACCAGACCTCCGATGCGGATGATCTCGCTGAAAATCGGAGAATTAGTCAACGAAAGGCAAGATTTATGAGTTCTATGACGCTAGGTTATATCATCCATCCGCCAATCCTCCCGACACTTACTTGTAAGTCCAGGTCATGTATCCTCCGTTGCAGCCTTGGTCCTTGACGTCACAGTCGACCAATTCTTGTTCGGACAAGCTGACAAGTTCTCCAGTCTTCTTCTTCCAGACTCCCTCGATGTTTCCGGTGACGGAGAAGGCCCAGCAGGATCCGCAGCTTCCCTGGTTCTTGACGGGGGTCACGTGTCCTTGTTCTCTCCAGTCGTGGAGTTCGGGAAGGTCGGTCTTGAGGTGGGCCAAGTCTTCGGCGGTCAATTTCTTGACTGGGGCGACCTCGTCGATGTTGATGTTGGTCAAGACTTGGGTGCGGAACTCTTCGGGGGTCATGTCCATGAATTGGGTCTCTCCGAACTCAGCGGTTCCCTGCTCATACTGTTGGTAGACCTGGAGTTGAAGGTAGTTGGCCTTGTAGATCTGGAAACGTTCGTGGGCTTGCTCGACAGAGGCATAGGTCTTGTCGAAACTGAAAATATTTTCTAGTTAGATTGAAGTGCACGAGGGAGTATAAATAAACAGAAAATTGGGCACATACGTTTCGGCGAAGGTGGCGAACTTGTTGAAGAGGGCCAGGTCGTTGATGGTGACCTTCTTCTCCAAGCCCTGGAGTCTGGCCGAAGCTGTAAGCGCCAACAAAGCCAACACGATTGTGCGGTACATTTTCGTTGAGTGAGGTTAACATCTTCTTGGCAGCACTTTTATAGTCGACAAATTGACTCCTTATCAGTGCGTATGGTAATTGAAGGCAGATGATAAGCGTTCGAGACAATGGCCGTGGCTTATCGACGTGCGGTTTAAGGGTCTTAGCTAAAGGTTATTTCGGGAATTTGGGAGTTAATGGAAGGCTCGAAACAATCAGTATGACGTAAGAAGACAGACAAAAGAAGTGATTGGAGTTGAATGTTCTTCTCGTCCTACTCTTTTTGCAGGATAAAAGTGCTGCATCACATTCCTCGAAGGTTTTTTGGGCGGGTACCGAACATTGGTGTTTGGGTAACCTGTCATTGAAAGCTGACCTTTTATTCCCACCGTCTTTGAGCGTGATTGTCTTAAAGAGATGCCGGCCTTATGCCCTCGATTCTCCTGGTTATTTGGCTCTTTTTATCGTAGTTTGGAATTTAATTACACTACTCGTATTCCCATTTTATTGGTATTCCTGCGATAAATTGATTGATTAGCTTGTTTACGATAAAATAAATAATCGCTACTGTATAGCTGGGTCTAACTTTGGCCTGAAAGTCCCAGCTGACCGTGGCATTTCAACTGAGAAGAACAGACTCAATCTTTTTTTACCGTCTTAGTAAATGGCTAATTATTCAAGGTGTTGGATCGATCCCAGCTAACTGATTTGGTTTCAAGCCCAACCCCCTGTCTAGCCAGCAAGCAAGAAAGTTCGATCAGCTCGAAATGAAACGCAACCACAGTTGACTACAGCACTCTCCGGTCTTGGAGTGCTACGAGGTGGAGCAAAAAGTCTTGACATGGGCTTGCATATCGTTGAGATCGCGAAATGGCTTTGCGCGACAAAGAATGGTTTGAATTATTTAGAAATGAAATGTACCATCTCATCGCACGATAATTCTTTACTTTTGAGTTCGTTTTGCTCTGTGCGTGGGCATGTTACCTCCGTTTGAAGAGTCTGCCAATGAGTCTTCCGTGCAAACATGTCAAAACTTTTTGTTCCAGCAAAGTGAAGGATCGCAAATGATACCAAAGAGACTCTGGATTTGGTATCAAAAGGTATCATGGCGTCATGAAGAGGCCGTTCAGTTTTACGAGAGCCGACGTTCACAAGGGCTGGAAGATATTTATCATAAAGCTGTTCTTCAAAGCCTTAACGCTTCTTGCATCTCTGATGATTTTTTTAGACCAAGTTCATGGTCTCTTTTAGGAGTCTTTTCTGGATTGAAGAAAGCCCAAATTTTTCTGTTTCCCTTGATCTTGGCTATTCGTTACTTGTCTACAACTATAAAACCTCTCCAAACGATTAGCCAGTAGCTTTACTTCACGTGAATTTCAAAAACGTGGTCTACGATCCCAAGACGAATCCTGTAGGAGTGAATGCACTTGCTACTTTTTGTTTTGAACCAGAATTTTTTCAATTTTTGCAGTATCGATACAGATGTTTCTGAAGACTGCTGCAGCTATAATAATGCTAGAATTAGTGATATCAATTTAACCTCAGAGAAAATAAAAGTGAAGATAGAGGACAAAGTTCCTTGTATTGTTCGACTCTCTACTTCTTTGTTCATTAATTTATGACTTTGTTCTGTAGGTAAGGTCCCATTTCTTCATTGTTTTATCAACAATCTTTTTGTCGTATAGACAAAATTGTTATCGAAATGATGCAAGGTCAGCTCCCGAACATCATCAAGCGATTACTTTATAGTAGAATACGATTATGGCAATAGATAACATGCAAAAACATACGCGTAACAAGTCTATTTTGGGCACAACTGTTCGAGGAACAGTGGTCTTTGTTTGTATGTAGTTTTTTCAAAATTTTGATTAACTTCTGTAAGAAGAACAGATAAGGGCAGACTGGAACAATTGGAGCGACGAATGCTCAGTCATCTGATGAAATAAAAAATCGAGTTGTCTCATACTGTGATTGTAATTTGTAAGTAGAAAGTTACAAATAGGGGAAATATACTGTTTTCAAATAGAACTGTAAGGTTAAATTCAGGAAGAAAACACTTCAATTGTAAACTTGTTGTATAAAATTGAGATTTTTTGGCCTTGGAATTAGACATACCCAAAAGCCAGCATTCCTCTGACCTCGTTTGTCATAGTCTGAAGATATCATTTGCCAACACATAAAATTGTTTTGAATATCAGAGAATCTCGTCTTATGAGAATCTCGTTATTATACCACTTCTTGGCTTTGTAAACTTGGCCCTATTTCCAGGCCTTTTTTCCAAATTTTTATGAGCCCAATCCCGAGATTGTAATAAAGATAAGCGACATGTTACGGTAAGTTTTTTTGCCGACCAACCATTCTGATTCCATCAATAAACAAATGTTTTTTTTTGTTTATCACATGACTTCTAAAATCAATCATCAATCGTTTAGGATATTTTCTACTCTTTCAAAAGGCACAAGTCTAATATCTAGCATGTTCTGAAACTGCTCCTCTGACTTTGTTATCATCCTGCAATGTTTTGCAAGTTGTCATTACGCCCTTTGCAATGAAATTTTTGGAATTCCTACTTTACTTATTGAAGACCCAAATTGAGTTCTTCTGTCTTCTTATCACGTTTGTATCTTCTTTTTAATTGTATCCGGCGTTTCTATTGTGCATGATATGCCTCAAAAATATAACAAAGGAACCTGAAAGGAAGTTACAGGGTACATAATAAACTACATGTACCCTGGATTGGACTCGTTGGAAAAGATTATGTATACATGATTCTATTCTGTGCTTTATGGCGCAATATGATTATGTACAGGGTGTACCAATTTACACCCTGTATGTATCGTTTCCAAGATGGAATTTCGAAGTAGTCTCCTAAACTCAGCCCTCATTTATTTTCGATGCCAATTGGCTCCTGATGTTCAACAGGAACTTGTCCCTTTACCATTGAGAGAGTATCACAATGCATACATATACAATGATTGTCGGTATGAACTGGCATAAACAAAAAACATTGAAATGTACATTCGCCAATGTTGGAGATCACTGAATGACTTAATGTTGCATAAAGTGTGCATTCGGGTCTCGTTTTACTTACGTAATATTATTTATGCACCTATCATTAAAACTCACCGTCTTAACATATTAATAATTTCTTATGAAGCATTATCTCTGTTTGTTCTCTTCCTATGACTTTATGATAAAGATGTAATAAGAAGTGAATCATAACAAAGTGAATGTGATTAATAAAAAATACATATCATATTGAATGAAGTAATCACTGCAAAGAAACAAGTGGTAAAGGATCAATTTTCAATTCATCAAGAACAAGTGGTGATAACAGAATTCGTAAACCTGCTGGAGTGATTTTGCCGACATGCATTGTGCAAAAAAGCCAGGGTGCAATCGACCGCCGAAGAAAGTCATTTGCACAGTGTAAAGTGAACTTTTACTGTCTTACAGTGCCGATTTCGGTCCAGGGACTTTCCCAAGGGACTGGCACAAACACGGTACCTATGGTTCCATATCCTTTTCGAAACATCTTGTTTATTCGACATTTGCGGACACATATCAAAGCGCCTGGCACACATATACAGGCATAGAGCGTCAAAGAAATATCTAACCTAAGCAGGTCTAACCAAGACTTACAGTGAAAAACTGTAAGTCTTGGTAACCCTTTTCGGTAACCAATCAGCCAGTTATAAGTTTTACACTTCCCACCTCGGTGTTAATTTAGACCGAAATGGAAAATAAGTCATCATATTCGAAACCAACGCCTGGGGGAACTATAACTAGATGTAAAACACGGGCTGTCTTTGGGAGATGGTAAAAATTGTAATCATCACAATAATACTCGAATTTTTCCGTTCGCAACAACACTAAAGCACTGATAATCAAAACACGCTCACCTGCGAGCTTCCGGCCGTGAAGTGTTCATCCCTGGTGTATTTGTGGCGATACCATCCATGTCCCATTTTTCAGCGGCAAACCGTTTTTTTCAGGATGCGACAGAAACCGGACAAAAACCGCACGGTGCGAAATTATCAGGACTGTAGTATGTGTACTCTCAGGCAATTCAAAGGAACAACTCAGTCATCTGCGATAATGGAATGCCTTCTAATGACTAATTGCAAACGTCACGGTTAGGGTCAAAAAGATGTTTACTTTGCCAGGCACTATCCTTAATGATTTCTCTTCCTATGACGATATGATGGTAATATACTGTTTATATTGCTCTCCGGTGCACGATTGAGCATACATTTTTTGAAAATAGAACGCTTCTCCCCGCGTATCCGACAGATATTATGAAATGCAAATCGCATCATTTAGTAAGCTAGGTGAACGTGGGTTGAAAATTAAATTAAAATGGGAGACACCCAAATTCACAAACTAGACATGCCTGATAATTGATATCACTTGATTATAATTTTAATTAGTCTTGCCACTCGCTCCAATTTCCAAAATTTTGTGATCTTGGAAAGATAAAACGATCGTAATATTAACTATCTTAATTATAAGATGAAACGATGATGTGATTATTTTTTATGATTATTTTTTTATTTATCTTTACTCTACGCTTCACTTGCTTTATGGGAATCTACGTCACCAGCAACGCAGAAAAGCACATCAACTTATCATCCATTGTTGTACCGGAAGGCGGTCCCCTCCCAACCGTATTTAAGGCATACTAAATGAAGGCACGGTCATCAATCGGATCATGTACCGAACAGTGGTAGTGGCTCTACTGGCCTTGTCGGCTTCTGCCAGACTTCACGGTTTGGAGAAAAAGGTCACCATAAACGACCTTGAACTCTTCAACGGTTTTCATAAATTCGCTGAAACGTAAGCGTGTACCTTTTTCTAAGAATTAGCACCAAATCAGATTGGTAATATCTTTTGTTTTAGCTATGACAAGCAATACGCGTCTGTTGAAGAAGCCCGCGAACGTTTCGAGATCTACAAGGCCAACCACCTCCAACTCCAGGTCTACCAACAATACGAGCAGGGAACAGCCACCTATGGCGAGACCCAATTCATGGACCTGACCCCCGAAGAGTTCCGTACCCAGGTCCTCTCCAACGTCCAGAAAGACCCTCTGGCCCCACATAGACGCCTAACCGACGAGGAATTGAACGCCTTGGACGATAAAGTCCCAAGGTCCCTTGATCACAGAGAGGCTGGGTTGGTCACACCGGTCAAGAACCAGGGAAGCTGTGGATCTTGCTGGGCTTTCTCTGTTACCGGGAACATCGAGGGTTTGTGGAAGAAGAAAACCGGAGAGCTCGTTAGCTTGTCCGAACAGGAATTGTTAGATTGTGACAAGAAAGACGAGGGATGCGATGGAGGCATGATGCTGTCGACTTATGAGTGAGTCATATATTTATAATGATGACTGTATTTGGGAATGGTAAACAAACAATTGACTGTGTTTCAGAGAAATCATTCGACTTGGAGGGCTTGTCAAAGAGGAAGACTATCCATACAAGGGGGCAAGCGGAAAATGCCTACTGGATAACAAGAAGGTCACAGCGTATATCAACGACTCCCTTCAACTTCCCGAAGACGAGGAGAAGATCAAGCAATACTTGGTTTCCTCGGGCCCCATCTCCGTCGGAATCAACGCCAATCCCCTCCAATTCTACCGCGGTGGTATCCATCACCCACCAAAATTCTTCTGCAGCCCTAAAGGAATGAACCATGCTGTCCTTCTTGTTGGCTACGGTGAAGAAAATGAAAAGCCTTTCTGGATTGTCAAGAACTCGTGGGGAGATCGTTGGGGAGAGAAGGGATATTTCCGTTTGTACCGTGGAGAGAATGTCTGCGGAGTTGCTGGGTATGCCACTAGTGCCATCCTGCACTAAATTTTACAGCTAACGCTAAAGGAGAATCATAAAACAATGTAATGATTTAGAACCTAAATAAATATCTGTTGTGGTTTTAATTAACCAACTTTTCCACTCCTTGCATTGCGAAAGAATGAATCCTCGTAAAAATTCGCGAAAGATGCACAACATGTATTTCCCTTTAGTTTATCAGGTCAACGCGGGGTTCGAAGCAAGTAAATATAAGACCAATTATGAGAGCATCATCAAAGTGCAGAGCGCTTGAATTGAGCTGGGGCTCTCGCCACAAACGGCCCGAACTTCTCCTCAAACTCTAATCCAACATACCCACCACCGACGAACAGTCCTAGACTGAAGGGCCCCCGCACGTCAAACTTAGGAGTCCGGTGACCGGAATAGACCCTTAGGCACTGTGCGAAACACAAACGTTTCCTTGCACTGTGCATTTTTTTGTTTTTTGCACCGTGCAACAGGCTTTTATTCGGCTGTATCGCACACCCTGGCTTTCTTCGCACAGTGCAACGCCAAAAATCAGACCGGCGACTTTCCAGAAGGACTAGTAGTAGATACAATTTAAGTTGAATAAGTCATGATTTGCTACCCGTGTGTGTGTCCACGAATTTCAACGTTAACCCGGAAGACAGAGCTTTTATTACGTCAGCATAATGCTGATTTTCTGACAGAACTTTGGTTTCTTCGCCTCTTCACACTTGCTGTTGATAAACTAATGCTTGCTGTTCCCTCTTAAGCTTATCGTTGGCATAAACTTCAGTTACTTTAGTGGAACAAGTCACCAAGAGCAAAGAAACACGGAATATGACCTTATCAGGCTTTTTTAGAAGGCAAGGCGGCTCCCTTTATATAAGGCATACCAAATAAAGAGCTCATCAATCAGACCATGTACCGAACAGTGGTAGTGGCTCTACTGGCCTTGTCGGCTTCTGCCAGACTACATGATTTGGAGAAGAAGGTCACCATCAACGACCTTGAACTCTTCAACGGTTTCCAAAAATTCGCTGAAACGTAAGCGTGTACCTTTTTTAAGAATTACGTCACCAAATCAGATTTGGAATATCTCTTGTTTTAGCTATAACAAGCAATACGCGTCTGTTGAAGAAGCCCGCGAACGTTTCGAGATCTACAAAGCCAACCACCTCCAACTCCAGGTCTACCAACAATACGAGCAGGGAACAGCCACCTATGGCGAGACCCAATTCATGGACCTGACCCCCGAAGAGTTCCGTACCCAGGTCCTCTCCAACGTCCAGAAAGACCCTCTGGCCCCACATAGACCCCTAAACGACGAGGAATTGAAGGCCTTGAAGGATGATGCTCCGGCTGAATTTGATCATAGAGAGGCTGGTTTGGTTACTCATGTTAAGAAACAGGGTGACTGTGGATCTTGCTGGGCTTTCGCTGCTACTGGAAACATTGAGGGATTGTGGAAAAAGAAGACTGGAGAACTTTTCAGCTTATCCGAACAGCAATTGGTGGATTGCGACAAGAAGGACAAGGGATGCCAGGGAGGCTATATGCTTCCGGCATTCGAGTGAGTTTTACTGCATTACCTGCCATTATGGTTTTTTTGAAATGGATGATTAGAGTAGTTAACGTCCACTTCCAGAGAGATAATTCGTCTGGGAGGTCTTGTCAAGGAAGAGGAGTACCCATACAAAGGACTTGACGGAGAATGCCAGCTAGAAAACAAAAAGATCGCCGCTTACATCAACGACTCGCTCCAACTCCCAGAAGACGAGGAGAAGATCAAGCAATACTTGGTTTCATCTGGCCCCATTGCTGTCGGAATCAACGCCATCCCACTTCAGTTCTACCACCGTGGGATCCATCACCCACTCAAATTCTTCTGTGACCCTCAAGGACTGAACCACGGTGTCCTTCTTGTGGGTTACGGTGAAGAGAGAGGCAAGCCTTTCTGGATTGTCAAGAACTCGTGGGGAGATCGTTGGGGAGAGAAGGGATATTTCCGTTTGTTCCGTGGGCAGAATGTTTGTGGAGTCGCCGGATACGCCACAACTGCCATCATCAACTAAATTGTACAGAAATAAATTAGAATCTTGATCAATCTCATCGCATTTCTTTATTTATGGCCGCCTATGTGGACGTGGTATTTTTTGAGTACTTATTTTGAGGCTAAAAGGGCCATATGTTTTTGTAGAACGGTAGAAGATATCGGACGCACAAACAATCCAAAATTTGTTATCGAGGTCGGGTTAACCATTGTCTGATTATCAGCAGCAATAGAGGATTTCGGAAGCTGAATGCTGATAAAGCAACAAAAAAAGAATTCGAGACGTTTGTGAGATCTTTATCATAGAACATTGAGCTTCACGGGAAGTTTTATTTGCGCAAGCTTAAAATTTTGAGCTTTTGGACTACAGTCTTACCAAACGTATGCGGATCTTCCGTTAGAAACGTCTAGAATTAGAGTTAACGCGCCTTTTCAAAGTTCAAGATACACGTATAACCAGCGGGTCCATAAGTTTAACAAACTGGGAATTGGTTCTTATCAACGCTGAAAGTTTAATCCCTTGAAAGAAAAATTTAATAACAGTTTGAGGAGAGAAACTCTGAAGAAAGAGTTCTCGATGTTCCGAACAGCGGCCGTTTTTACCGTACTTTTTGTGTTTGTGGCCGCAAGATTGCATGGTCTAGAGAAAGAAGTTGCCATTCAAGATCTACAGCTGCTCAATCAGTTCCAAGGTTTTGCCCAGACGTAAGTTCCGCTCAATACGGTAATTAAATCCCATTGCTTTATCTGAAGCACCATACTCGAAAAATTTTTTTAGCTACAACAAAAAGTATGACTCCCTTGAAGAAGCCAGAGAGCGATTCCAGATCTACAAAGCTAACCAACTTCAAGTCCAATACTTTCAACAACTAGAGCAAGGGACGGCAGAATTTGGAGAAAATAAATTCATGGACATGACCGATGAACAGTTTGAACAGAACGTTCTCTCAACCATTATTAAAGACCCTCTGGCTGTCTCGAAGAAGCTTGCTTTGGCCGATATTGAGACTTCCGAAGAGCTTCCGCAATCACATGATTGGAGGGACCACGGATTAGTGAACCGAGTCAAGGATCAAGAACAGTGTGGATCTTGCTGGGCGTTCTCCGTGGTCGGAAATATTGAAGGACAATGGAAAAGAAAGACCGGAGAACTGATCAGCCTCTCGGAGCAGGAATTGGTCGACTGCGACTTCAAAGATCTGGCTTGTAAGGGAGGAGAAATGAATTGGGCTTATGGGTAAGTAATTGGCATTCGTACAGTTCTCTATATACCATAAGTAGAACAACGCAGCGCGCAAAGTGCTCGATGTGCAACAGATAATTAGGCAGGTGTTCTCTTTGCGCCTCTTATTAAATTCAGAAACTTTCAAATCGCTTTTTAGATGGTAGTCAGAAGTTTAAAAATCTTTGCATATGAGCAGCACGGCAAGGAGCATCTTGTTAAAAATTGTGAGAAAACGATTGACCTTCAAATTTCAGAGAAATCATTCGAATTGGCGGTTTGGTGAAGGAAGAAGACTATGAATACGTTGGTCAGAAATGTTTCTGCCGCGTGGATGAACATCCTATTGTCACCTACATCAACGACTCCCTCCAATTACCAGCCAATGAAGAAGCGATTCGTCAATATCTTTTTAAAAACGGCCCAATTTCCATTGGACTGAATGCAAAGACTCTAAAGCATTATAAACATGGAATCCACCATCCCTTCCAGTTCCTCTGCAAACCCGAGGACACAAATCATGCGGTGCTATTGGTCGGATATGGAGAGGAAAGCGGGAAACCCTACTGGCTTCTGAAGAATTCATGGGGAGAATCCTGGGGAGAGAAGGGATACTTCAGGGTGTTCAGAGGAAAAAATGTATGTGGAGTAGCCGAATACGCAACTTCGGCAATCATTTATTAGGACTGTTTTATATGGAAATATTCTACAAACATGTCTTTATATTACAAAGACATGTTATTATAGAAGTAAAAGAGTGATGTTGTTCAATCGGCAAAAAATCTTTTGAAATGGAAAAAATAAGCTTTGCAAAGATAAATTTTTAATAAAAAAGCGTTAAAATAAGGTATGGGGTTTGCCTACAGAACATTCCCCAAAGAGTTCAAGTGTTTGAAAGGTGACTGTGGCCTTGGGTTGGGCGGTTACGTACTTGTTAAATGCAGTCCTTGTCAACGTTCGGCTTTCCCCTTCGTCCAAATAAATGATAAAGTCGGCCGCTCGGGCATGTCTTTTACTCACCTCATGTTGTGGACATCAACTTTTCCTTTTCGTCTTTCTTACGGGCCTTCCTGATCCTGCCATTATTTTGCTTCGATCATAATAAGCTATGTCAGACGACTGTGAGTCAAAGCAATTTGATAACATCAATTAGCAATCCAGTCGATAATTATTATAATAAAATTGCATAGATCTAAGCGAGAGGATAGGCAATCACGTCATTCAAAGACACACCTTGTTCACAACACCAAAATATAAATATTATCCAGAACAAAGACATTAAATTTATCTTAAGATAGTCAAACTACAGGGTGTTTCAAGAAATTTGGAAGAAACTAGTTGCGAATATTTTTGAGCTCTTGCTAGTTATCGCAGAAATTCTATTTGTTTCTAAAACTTGACAGCGGGCGGTTTTGTACTGAACAAAAAAAAATTTTTTCGTCGGCGGAGAGGCCAGTTCTCGGCGGAGGCATTTAGGGCCTTTTTTAAAAATCACACCTTATTACATCGTGGAAACTCTGTTACAGTGGCCAAAATCATGTTTACGTTAAACCTCTGTGGATTTTGCGGTATGCTTTTTTGCGTTTTCGATTTTACGCAACATCCGCGGAGGCGCGACGGAGACCGCAGATTTCGGCGGACTTTGTTTTGGGCCCTCGGTTTTTGCAAATCCGTGTTGGAAAAAAGGTTGGGGCGATTTTTTGTTGTCATCCGATGCACAGAGGGCAAAAATTTTGTACTTTTTTCCCCGGCGGAGGATTCGGCGGAGGCTTTCTCAAAGGGTCAAAACAAAATTTTGACTCTTTTGATAAAGCCTCCGCCGAAACCTCCGCCGATGTGTCCGCCGGATCAAAAAATAAGAAAAATGGTGTTGCTGTGATGGATTCTTGTAGCTGAGTTTTTTCCCGGACTCCTAAGACTGTTCTGACCCTTTGGTAAAGCCTCCGCCGAATCCTCCGCCGGGGAAAAAAAGTGCGAAATTTTTGCATCTGTGCATCGGGTGACAACAAAAAATCACCCCACACTTTTTTCCAACCTGAATTGAATGATCCAAAGGCTCAAAACGACGTCCGCCGAAACCTGAGGTCTCCGCCGTGCCTCCGCGGATGAGCGCAAATCGAAAACAAAAAAAAGCATACCGCAAAATCCACGGAGGTTTAACGCAAACATGATTTTGGCCACTGTAACAGAGTTTCCACGATGTAATAAGGTGTGATTTTTAAAAAAGGCCCCAAATGCCTCCGCCGAGAACTGGCCTCTCCGCCGACGAAAAAAATTTTTTTTGTTCAGTACAAAACCGCCCGCTGTCAAGTTTTAGAAACAAAAAGAATTTCTGCGATAACTAGCAAGAGCTCAAAAATATTCGCAACTAGTTTCTTCCAAATTTCTTGAAACACCCTGTAATTTTATAAAATACCACCATATAAACTAAAAAATATAATATAAAAAATATATTAACTCCTTCAAAATCATTTACTAAAAATCTTTTTATATCCGCATTCCTTACATCTCGCTTGCTAATTTCAACCCGGAAAACAGATAAGAAACACAATATACAAATCACGTAGTCATCAAAACCATGCTATCAGTAAACTAATGCAGAATGGCATATAAAAGAAACGAATAATTAAAGTGGAACACCAGTCGAACAATGTACAGAGCAGTTCTGTTGGCTCTGCTGACCTTGTCGGCTTCGGCCAGACTTCATGGCTTGGAGAAGAAGGTCACCATCAACGAACTTGAACTCTTCAACGGTTTCCAGAACTTTACTAAAACGTACGTTTACAAGGTCCACATTTCTTTAAAATGTCAGAGGGCAGATTAAGAAGCAGGGCCCAATATCATCGTGAAGTTTTCTCGTAAATTGGGAAAGAATAAAGTTTTTGTTCTAGCTTTGAGGCCCAATTTTAGACCGTTAATGTAATAAATAATTTCATGTTTCAGTTTCGACAAGAACTACGCCTCTCTCGAGGAAGCCTTCCAACGTTACCAAGTCTACAAAGCCAATCAACTCAGACTCCAAGAGCTCCAACAATCCGAGCAAGGGACCGCCACTTACGGAGAGACCCAATTCATGGACCTAACTCCCGAGGAATTCCGCACTTTCTATCTTTCCAACATCACCGTTGACTCTATTCCCATGAGAAAACTTACTGTTGAGGAACTGAAAGAGTTGAAGTCTGATGCTCCAACTTCTTTGGATCATCGTCAGAATGGTTTCGTGACCGGAGTGAAAGATCAAGGAAAGTGTGGAGCTTGCTGGGCCTTTTCTGTGGTCGGGAACATTGAGGGATTGTGGAAAAAGAAGAGCGGAGACTTGGTCAGATTGTCTGAACAAGAATTGGTCGATTGTGATCGAAGAGACAAGGGATGTCAGGGAGGAAACATGCTGGTTACTTACTCGTAAGCCTTCTCCTAATCTACAAGGTGGGAGAGGTTCGAACGGTCAAACGTGATGCAATTGCATCTAGTAAGCGTTGAAAATTCCGTCAAACAAATTCTTCTCGACCGACAATAGGGTTATCTCGCAGAGAGAAAACGGAAAGTTTCTCTTTTGTTGCGCCCTAACTTTAGATCACAGTATCATTAAAGATTTGACGCTTTCTCTCCAGTAAGATAATTTTCTGCTCTCTACGTAATCAGAGGAACACAACAAAAGTATTTGAAAGCACTAACATTCCTACCGAACGTTTCCAAAAAGCATTAAGAACAGACTTTGACCACTCAATCCTGTCCCCTACGCTAACACAGAAGTTTTGAATTCCGAATCAAAATTTACCATTTCAGTGAAATCATCCGTCTTGGAGGTCTTGTCAAGGAAGAGGACTATCCTTATAAGGGAAGGAACGAAAGATGCAATCTTGAAAGAAATCAAATCGTCGCTAAAATCGACAGTTTTGTCCACATCAACCAGAACGAAGAAACGATTAAGCAATATCTTTATGAGCACGGCCCAATTTCTGTCGGAATCAACGCGAATCCACTTCAATATTATTCGCGCGGAGTCTTCCATCCAACCAGCTCCCGTTGCAGCCCGAGAGGACTAAATCACGCAGTTACTTTGGTCGGGTATGGAGTCGACGGAAAAGACCCATATTGGCTTGTCAAAAATTCCTGGGGAACAAGATGGGGGGAGAATGGATACTTCAGAATCTACAGAGGCGCAAATGTTTGCGGAATTGCAGCTTTTGCTACAAGTGCTGTTATCAATTAAAGTCATAACAGAAAACGAATAAAATTACAGTTGCTCAAACTTACTTCTCTCTAATCTGGCTTTTGTAAAGCGATAGCCAAAAAAATTATTTTTTTTTAACTTCTGTTCTAAATTTGTCTCATGTGCAAACATTTCCTAACACTAGTGTTCAAGAGCTTTCAAATGGCATAGGTCATGCCATTTCGGTGATGATAAATTTCTCTCCGACTCAAATTAAAGCAGCACCTATCTGTCAGCATGCAGGATGTTACCCCATAATTTTACAAAATAACCTATTGACTTTCCAATATATCTTTACAATCCTGTCCCTCTAATTGAGCATGCTGTATCTCTTTCCTATTCATTTCCACTCTTATTTGTTTCTACACCCATCTGATGGATGTTATGATCGCAATAAAGCTCTGACTCTGTAGTCAGAACGGAGAAAAACAAATAGCTCGTTCCAAAAAGGATTGTAAATTGCAAATTGACCGTAATCATGGAGTGCAACTGCAAAAAATATTGTTTTTACAATGATTTTTGGAACTTTCTGAATTCAAAACTTAAAATTAATTTTCTTCAATGCACCCGGATTTAACTCATATTTAGCATGCGTAGTTTTGAAACCTAGCAATTGCTGCAAAGAGGCTATCAACTGTTAATTCAAAAGAAATTCGGTGATTGTCAACATAGAAATCTCGATTTTATCAGATTTTAGCAACATTTTGCCCCAAGCTCGGGCAAATTTTGTGTCATCACACTTCCTTTGCAAATCCCACATCAATTTGCCATAAATTTTTGATTTTTGGACCCTCGATTACTATTCTAAATGCTTTTTAAAAGTGCTTGTTCCAACTGTACATTACAGTTCCATCCATTTCCATTCAAGTTCAGAGCAAATAAAGTTGCTTTTAATGGCTTTTGTCTGCACTTTCAGATGACGTCACAGTCTCTGAGTTAGAGGGAAGAGAAGGATTTAATTGGGGTAAACGGGGACACTTTTAGTTTTGGGATTATGATTCATTCACAAACAGTTATGAGTAACCGAGCCAATCGAACAAATTGTAATCCCATTTTTGATCATCTTTTCTACAGTTTGCTTCAAAAAAAGAGTAAAAACGTTTTTAAAAATGAGTAGGTGAATCTTGTTTCTACACCCACATAAATGAAACACAAACTAAAAAACAGAAGCAGTAACCGCGCTTTGCAGAAACGAACGATATGAATGTCGGAAATGATTAAAGATTTGATGTTTTTGAGGACAAAAAGTTACTCTCTTCGGATCTTAGAGTTAAAATTTTATCTAAAGAATCCCTCGCATATGCTATTCATTGCAATTTTTGTAATGTAAATTTAAATTGTATAAACCAGTATTTTGATAATTTTTCCGGATAGTTTAACAATTTTTCATCTCAAAAATTATTTTACTTTGCTTGTACAATGTAAATTTACGTCAAATTTTTGATGATCTTATAGTTTCCACAGCATTTTTTGTCGCCAAACAGTATTGCAACGAGCCATAGACTCCTTATGCAATCTGTTTGCCCTCCAGCCACCTTATTCAAGCCATCTACATTACCCATTTTTCCGTTTTTTGTCATGGATATACACTGGAGGGATCAGCTCCGTCCAGAGGTCGCGACAAAAAGCCGCCGCTACAATCTCTCGCCCGCGAGAGTAACAATTACGCAATTCGAAGTTTCGGAGCTCGACAAATCCCCCCTCAAAATAACAATAAATCGCCCCAAAAAACAGCGAAAGTTCAGAACGGGTGAATTGTTGAGCCGACAAACGTGCTGAGCGGATGTCGAGACGGGTGAGACCTGCGCGAAATGAGAACAACAAGTGGGCTGTGCCGGCGGAGCGGCTAGCTGGAGGGGAGACCGCCGCCAAATGGAAAAGTAAGCAGTTTTAGGGGTTTTAAGACGTGTCTGGCCATAATATAAACTTTTCTCGAGTATATTTAAACCTACCACATAAATTTGAAATAATATCGAATTATTTTATTGCTAAACTTTTCTGACGATTTCCTACCTACTAGAACGTCATTTTTCTCCAAATTGCCTAAAAAAATTTAAAATTTTCCTCTAAGAATCCCTATTTCAGAACTCAGTGCCACGCAGAAGGCTCTTCGGATCCTACTTGTGATACTAAAGTTGAAAATATTGCTGTTGATTATCTTCTGCTTCATCTGCACTCTAAATCTTCTAACAGATGCCTTCAAATTACTGGGAGTAAAAGGGGTTGGAATGACAATCAAGACCTCTCCACTCATTCTGAATCCAGTTTCGGCATCCATTATTGGAATGTTGTGCACATTGCTCTTCCAAAACGGCAGTACTTTAGTCAGCATTTTGGTGGGAATGGTGGCTAGTGGATGTAAGTTGAGTGCTTAGAAGCTATTATACATATTATGATTCTTTGTCACCCTGTATTATGATCACTCGTTACGAAACCCCAACAAATTTTTCAGTGATCTCCGTCCACCACGCCCTCCCAATGATAATTGGCTCCGAAATGGGCGCTTCTCTCACAAATGTCCTAATTTCCATGGGCCAGTCTGGGGATCGCAACAAATTCCGTCGCTCTTTCGCCGCGGCAACTCTCAACGACGCTTTCAATGTCCTCAACTACCTGACACTTCTTCCGTTGGAGATCTGCACCGGAGTTATTGAGAATTTAAGTGGGAAAATGGTGAAGCCTTTGGTGGGAACTCATACTGGAGAAATCAAGACTTTGAACATGCTCACGGATCCGCTGTTAGAGCTGATTGTTCATGTAAGGCAATTTTCTGGGACTGTGCACATTCATACCACAATAACTTTTCTTGTAAAAAATAATAACTGTTTGGTTTTCATACTTTAGATCGACGACGACGCAATAAATGCCGATATCGCGGCAGCCACAGACTCGGATAACTCAACAGTGCCTTCAGGCCGAGAAACATTCATTTATCGCTGTGTCAACGTGACAACCAAGATTCTTAACCCTAACTGTAAGTGTAAAATACCTTTCCTCCACCTTTGTTCACACCTATTCATTTAAAAATTGTTCTTGTAAGAAAAATTTTACTGACTTAATTTCAGGTAAATACAACCACCTCTTTGCCTATTCCTACTGGTCCGATGCTTTGATCGGCTCAATTTTGCTCACCTTGGCCATCCTTTCCCTGATTTTTTGTTTGGTCGGGATTGTCCAAACAATGCAATCTCTGTTGGCGGGTCGCGTCGCCGTAATGGTTCGTCAATTGTTGGATCAAGAGTGTCCTGGGCCCTTCAAATTCCTCACTGGCTACATTGTAATGCTCTTCGGAGTGGTCGTTGTCTTCATCGTTCAGTCCAACAGTGTTTTTCGATCAGCCTTAACGCCATTGGTGGGTATCGGAGTGGTGACTTTGGATCGATTATATCCCTTATTACTTGGCGCCAACATGGGATCTTCTTTCACGGGGATTCTGGCGGCCTTATCGTCAGACCCGGCCAAGTTGCGAGACACTCTTCAAATAGCACTGTGCGAAACTTTGTGTAATGTTTTCGGAGCTATTGCATTTTATCCGATACCTTGTTTGAGGAGAATCCCGATGAATATCGCGATGCAATTGGGTGACTTAACGGCTAGGGTAAGATTACTTTACCTTTGATTTCAAATTATTTTAGAATTTTTGAGTTGAGCTTACGTATAACACAAAATTTTCAGTACCGATGGTTCGCACTGGTCTATATTTTCCTATTCTTCTTTATAATGCCCCTTTCTCTCCTCGGCCTCACTCTTCTACCTACTTGGGCTACAGTAACAGCAATTTCCCTTCTAATTTTCTTCATTACGTTTATAATTACTGTAAATTGGGCCCAATCCAATCATCCAGACGCCCTTCCAGCCGCGCTCCAATCGTGGAATTGGCTTCCTCGGCCGTTACATTCCCTTAGGCCCTACGATAATTTCATTAGGAAGTATTTTGGATCAGTTGCATGCTGTAGGAATCATTTTGTTTCAACAAATCAGCGGAAAAAGAGCTCTGCCACGAATAATATCAGCGAAATGTTTGCCAGACAATCCGCAGAGGAGAAAGCGGCAGTTCAAGATGAAGAAAATCGATTAGGATTCATCCGGGAGATCATGAGGACACCTCCACCACAAGTTGGTCACCCTTATTAAGGCTAATTTAAGATTAATTATTGCCAATTATACGGTCAGATCGCTCGAAATAAAGCTAGAACATAATATTGTGAGGCCCATAAATCTCTTTGTAAAATCGGCTACCGTATTACACGGAATTTTCAAAAAAGCTTTTGCCAAAAAAATTCATTTTTTCAATTTTATTCCATAATAATTTTGCAAACGTCCTTTGAATTCCCAAGCACTTGTCGAACTCATGGAAAAGGCTCATTATTCATTGTCCACAGCTTGGTCAGGAACAGTGTGGTCGAGCATAAAGCTCCACCAAAATGGGAACTCCACTCGCTCCCGCCAAAATCAATATCGGCGACAAGATCCGGGACCAATGGATTGTGAAAAAGAAACTCGGAGAAGGTCAGTTTACGTCTATTCTATTGTAAATCCTCGAAACTAGGCGTGAGGTCATTATATTTTCAGGCTCATGCGGGATGGTCTACCTGGTCCAGAACATCAAAACTCAAGGTGTGGAAGGTCGGGCAGCGATGAAAGTGGAGCCATTCATGAAGTCCAAGGACGATGAGATCCTTAAAATGGAAGTGTTCGTCCTGAAGAAGGTCCAGAAGTCGAAGAATGCGTGCAAACTATTGCTGGCCGGGAAGGGGAAGAACTACAGTTTCCTGATCATGTCATTGTTGGGAAAGGAATTGAGCGAACTGCGACGGAGATACTTTGCCGACCGAAAAATGCCTCCGGTCACAACGCTCAGAGTCGGAATTCAAGCCCTTCAGGTAATGTTTTGTTATAGCAACGTTTATAAAGGAGCTAGAATAAGTTGAGTAATCGTAAAACAGGTCAGATGCTTTGTTCTACCTGATTTCTGACTGTGTAACATCAAAAACTCATTAATTTCTAGTCACTATCTAATCAAATCCGTATTTTAGGCCATCCAGGATCTTCATTCCGTTGGATTTGTTCATCGAGATGTCAAACCGACCAATTTTGCTTGTGGGTACGCCAATAGACGAATCATCTACATGTTCGATTATGGCCTGGCTCGACAAATCATGACCAAAGATGGAAGTAAAATGAAACTCCGAGATCCAAGACCTAAAGTTTCGTTTCGAGGAACTGTCCGATATTGCTCTATTAATGTCCATCAATACAAAGAGCAAGGAAGACACGACGATCTCTGGAGCTTGTTGGTAAGAGACTATAAAAAATCCTACTAACGCCCCGATGGCTTGTATACATAGCTAATTCTTTCAGTACATGTGCATCGAACTTTGCACTGCAACATTACCTTGGAAAGGAATGTCCAGGAAGGAATCTGGAGCCATTAAAGCATCTGTTTCGGACGCATCTCTCTGCAAAGAATGCCCACCATCCTTCCTCGAACTCGCCAAAATCCTCAAGACCTATGAATACAAGACTACTCCAGCTTATGATTCCTTCAAAGCATCTTTTATAAAAGATATCCAAAATCTCAAAGGTAATATGAATGACCCTTTCGAATGGGAGAAATCTGAGAAAAAGACCGAGAAGAAGCAGGAGGAGAAGGATAACGACGAGAAGGCCGAGTTTGATCAGGTCAGTTATATTACACATGATTATTTTGAGCAACATGGGTAACACACTGTTCTTGTTTCAAAGACCAGAGACAGGGCCTTTAGAAGGCCAGCAAGACTTATTAGAAGAACATTATACCTTTATTTCATTCCAGAGCGAAGACACGGACACCAAAAAGGATGTGGGAGAATCTGTAGAATCAGCCGCTACTGATGATGAGTCCCAGACGAAGGGATTTGCCAAAGAGGATACTCTCGACAATGTTGCTGAAATGAACAACAACAACAAATAAACGTTCCCCATTCTCATCTTTTATATTAGACTAGATTTTCATGGATAACTTGATTAAAGTCTCGTTTTCTACAATCGAATAGTACTACTGATAACAGGTGCAGTCCATTTACTTTTGTTTTGTCTCTTCTGTGCCTTGTTTCGGCCCAATCTGGCAATTTTGACGCAACTTTGTTTCTGGTTTTCAAACGCTCGCTTTTCCCGGGCTTTTCGGAGCTCTCTTTCCGGAAGCCCCGCCCCCTCCTCGCAGCTGCTCAGCAGGGAGTATAAAAAGGAGAGCGCTCCTTTCCTCTCCACAGTGTTCGTTCATTTGCTCGACACAACCGGCGATCAACAACTATGGTTCCGAAGCCAACTGGAAAGGGTGCCAAGAAGGCGGTGAAGTCTACGAAGGTGGCGAAGACCGATGGAAAGAAGAGAAAGAAGTCCAGGAAGGAGACCTACTCCGTCTACATCTACCGTGTCCTCAAGCAGGTCCATCCCGACACCGGAATCTCCTCCAAAGCCATGAGCATCATGAACTCCTTCGTCAACGATGTCTTCGAACGTATTGCCGCTGAAGCGTCTCGCCTCGCCCAGTACAACAAGCGCTCGACCATCTCATCCCGCGAAATCCAGACTTCGGTCCGCCTGATTCTGCCCGGAGAGTTGGCCAAGCACGCTGTTTCCGAAGGCACCAAGGCCGTCACCAAGTACACTTCTTCGAAGTAAGATGGATTCGACTTCTGGCTCCCGCTTCACACCCATTTGATCCCAAACGGCCCTCTTTAGGGCCACATATTACACTTGTTTTTTGATGTTTTGAATAAAAATAAATAATATTTTTTCAATTTGTCGTATTTGAAGTGATTCGGAATTTTTGTGTGTCTAATTAATTTGGATGGATAAAAATATTGAATTTTGAAAAATGTGGCCACATAATTACATTTGTTTTTTGATGTTGTGAATAATCATATTCTCTTTAGTAGACTGATTAATTAGGTAACGAATTCAAATTTTTGAACGGATCGGTGTCTGAGGTGTGGTTTTTTTTACACGGTTGACGAGTAAAAAGTTGTCTCTGCTGTTCCAGAAAATAAATATTCTTTGGTAGCCCTCATGCGAAAGTTTCATGCTGTTTGTTTGAGTTATTTTTATCACTATCGCATGAATAACTATAGTTCGTGAGTTATTTTTATCACTCGCATGAATAACTATAGTTCGCATTGCGCGCAAGAATGAGCAAAAATTTTGTAATTTGCTTTTGAATCGGCGCGAAAAGCCCGCGAAACAAAGCCCCGCCCCCTCTGTTTGGAACGGGTATAAAAGGAAGAGAAAGCCCGCTTTCCACTCATACGCTCACTTTAGTGTCGTACTCGATCGAAACAATGTCTGGACGTGGAAAGGGAGGAAAGGGACTCGGAAAAGGAGGAGCCAAGCGCCATCGCAAGGTCCTCAGGGATAACATCCAGGGTATCACCAAGCCCGCCATCCGTCGTCTCGCTCGTCGTGGTGGTGTGAAGAGAATCTCCGGCCTGATTTACGAGGAAACCCGTGGTGTTCTGAAGGTATTCTTGGAGAATGTGATCCGTGATGCCGTTACCTACTGTGAGCACGCCAAGAGAAAGACCGTCACCGCCATGGATGTGGTATACGCTCTGAAGCGCCAAGGCAGAACCCTCTACGGATTCGGTGGATAAGATCTCAACTCTTCTGATGCCCTCCAACAACGTTCTCGTTTGTTATTGATCCCAAACGGCCCTCTTTAGGGCCACAAATGTAATTTTCTTACTTTTTATTGCTTGTGATTTTAGAATAAATGTAGTTGAACTTTATGGAATGATTAATGTTCAACCTGTATGTTAGATTCTTGTGTTTTAGGTGGTGTTCGTATTTTGATAGAGTTCAGCTTCCAAACTCTGGAATAGTCGACGAAAGAATGGAAATTAATAATAAGGCTGATATTCTCTAGAGACCAGTAATTCTTCAACCTTGTGGAATGGTTATGTTCAAACGTGTATGTTAGATTCTTTGGTTTTTAGGTAGTGTTCGTATTTTGATAGGTTTTACAATTTTTCTTTCTTGGTAATCTAAACAGATTCCTGCAGCAGGAGGTGAATGCAAGGTGATGTGGTAATAAATAGTAGAGCTTTAGTGAACAAATTTCAGTTATATTGCGCTTGATTCTTGTAAGGTTACATTTATGCATAGTTTTCTAAACTTTCGTTTTCGGTAGTGTGGATATCTCGCAAGATCTTGAAAGAAATGGAGTAATGAGGTGTAGACGGAGGAGTAAACAAGATCCTAGGTGGATTCACAACTCCTCTTATTTCTCTGCGTCTCTCTTGAACTCCATACTCTCTCATTTGTTCGTTTTCGGGGGCAAAAACGGAAAAGCGCGGGGAAGCGAAACACTTGGCTCAAACGAGAGACTTGTCTTCTATTTACGACTCCGCCCACTCCACCAGGAGGTATAAAACAGAGAGAGGAAAGCTGGTCGACCTCATTGAGAATTCGAAACAACTCGCTCTCACCGCTTTCTACAACAATGTCTGGACGTGGTAAAGGTGGAAAAGCCAAGACCGGAGGCAAGGCCAAGTCTCGCTCCAGCCGTGCCGGACTCCAGTTCCCCGTCGGTCGTCTTCACAGGATCCTCCGCAAAGGCAACTACGCCCAGCGTGTTGGTGCCGGCGCCCCTGTCTACCTGGCCGCTGTCCTCGAGTATCTGGCTGCTGAAGTTCTGGAGTTGGCTGGAAACGCTGCCCGTGACAACAAGAAGTCGAGAATCAACCCTCGTCATCTTCAGCTCGCCGTCAGAAATGACGAAGAGTTGAACAAGCTCCTCGCTGGTGTTACCATCGCCCAGGGTGGTGTCCTGCCCAACATCAACGCCGTCCTTCTGCCCAAGAAGACCGCTGAAAGCCAGTCCTAAGCCCATGATCTCGTTGGCTTCCGCCTGAGTGTTTCTGATCCCAAACGGCCCTCTTTAGGGCCACAATTATTAATATTATACTTGGTTCTCATTAAATTTGCGATTTTTTCATTGTATATTGTTTTTTTTGATTTGCATTGGTTTTCAGATAAATAAATGTCAATGGATGAAAGCTTTTGGACGGTAATGTTAGAATTCTTGATTTGTCGTTGACGTTTAGGTAAGGTAACTCAAAGTTGGAGAAAAACAGTTGAATCAGACTCGAAAGTGCCAAGGGAAATGTTCTCTGCAACCCTAAGTGTAGTTTTTTTGACGAGTTATGCATGTAGTTATCAAATTATGAAGTTTTGATCATGTACAATACCGGTATTGAAACAGGTTACCTGTTTCAGAAATTTGTTGATTTTCTATTTTGGGACAACAATCGTTTTTTTGGCGCCAAATCCTTCCTCAAAATAAGCCCCGCCTCTCCGTTTTAGCTCCGGTATAAAAGCTAGGGAGCACCTCGGTTCGGCATCAGTCTCCGTTTTTTCGGTGCCCGACTTCAGCTCAAGTGCAACTATGGCTCGTACCAAGCAAACTGCCCGCAAATCGACCGGTGGAAAGGCTCCTCGCAAGCAACTGGCAACTAAGGCCGCACGGAAATCCGCTCCAGCCACTGGCGGAGTGAAGAAGCCCCATCGTTACCGCCCTGGAACCGTCGCTCTCCGTGAGATTCGTCGTTATCAGAAGTCGACCGAGCTCCTCATCAGAAAGCTGCCCTTCCAGCGTCTGGTCCGTGAGATCGCTCAGGACTTCAAGACCGATCTGCGTTTCCAATCCTCGGCTGTTCTGGCTCTCCAAGAGGCCAGTGAAGCGTATCTGGTTGGACTCTTCGAAGACACCAACCTGTGCGCCATCCATGCCAAACGAGTTACCATCATGCCCAAGGACATCCAGCTGGCCAGAAGAATCCGTGGTGAACGTGCCTAAGATGTGGATCTTCTACTCGGTCGACAAGCGACGCTGAATCTACTGATCCCAAACGGCCCTCTTTAGGGCCACAATTGGATGTAATTTTTGTTTGAATAAATAATTGTTGTGTTTATGGTTTTTTAAAAGGTTTGGAGATATAGATTTTAGATAAAGTTTACGGTCTTATCACTTTTATGGTCTAGTTTTAGACCTTGATTGGGGTTTTGAACGTCTTTCAAGGTTTCTTTTCAATGTTGTTTTATGTCGAAAATTCGGTAAACGTACGGCAAAAATGCAAGTAAAACTAAATTATTGATGTCACAGTCATTTAAAATATCTACAAAACCCTGTAAATTATTGCTTTGCTGTTTTATACCTAAAAGTAATTGCTATTTCTCGTCCGAAATCCTTCATTCCAACCCTTTCCCGCGCTTTTCGGACCTCTCTTTCTGTAAGCCCCGCCCACTCCTCGCAGCTGCTCAGCAGGGAGTATAAAAAGGAGAGCGCTCCTTTCCTCTCCACAGTGTTCGTTCATTTGCTCGACACAACCGGCGATCAACAACTATGGTTCCGAAGCCAACTGGAAAGGGTGCCAAGAAGGCGGTGAAGTCTACGAAGGTGGCGAAGACCGATGGAAAGAAGAGAAAGAAGTCCAGGAAGGAGACCTACTCCGTCTACATCTACCGTGTCCTCAAGCAGGTCCATCCCGACACCGGAATCTCCTCCAAAGCCATGAGCATCATGAACTCCTTCGTCAATGATGTCTTCGAACGTATTGCCGCTGAAGCTTCGCGCCTCGCCCAATACAACAAGCGCTCGACCATCTCATCCCGCGAAATCCAGACTTCGGTCCGCCTGATTCTGCCCGGAGAGTTGGCTAAGCACGCTGTTTCTGAAGGCACCAAGGCCGTCACCAAGTACACCTCTTCGAAGTAATATGGATTCGACTTCTGGCTACCGCTTCACACCCATTTGATCCCAAACGGCCCTCTTTAGGGCCACATATTATTTTACTTTGTTTTTTATGCTTTAAATGTAAATAAATAATTTATATTCTCTTTAGTAGACTGGATGAATTAGGTGACGAGTTCAAATTTTCGTGAATCACGCCTAACATTTGGATTTTTTACTCGGTCAACGGATGACGTTGTCTCTGCTGTTCTCGAACGGTCCTCTTCAGGAGCATGTTTTTTGTATTGTATGTAGAAAATTTATTGGCTTGTCTGAATCATTTTGGCCATTGTTGTAAGGGCTTTCTTGTAGATTCCGTCCCGAGTGTTACCTAAAACGGTTTTGAAACGAATCCATTAAATGCCAAAAATTTTGGCCTTCTGTATTTTGTTAAAAATAATTTTGGGGATTCCGATATTTTGTTGTGATAGTTTCATGGCCGGAACGAGTAAAGAAATGACGGTTGTAGGAGAAAATGAAGAACTCGAGGATCACCCAATCGATAGATTAATTGATTTGGCCACGGAAAATCCGAAGTTGGGAGCTGTTGAGCTTTGTCTCCTGCAGTCAAACTGTTTGAAAGAGTAAGTGAAGAGTTCTGTCTTTTCCTACGATTTAGGTTTCCAACGGATTTTGGAGAAGAGTCTGAGGGTTATCAAGATGCTTACGGCGAGGTTCAGAAGTTATTCATCCAAGTTTCTAACTTAAAAGTGGCTGCAGACCCTGCAGTTCAATGTAAAATCAACTCGGATGTATATTATTGGCTATTTCTAATTAAACGACTTGTTCCACAGATCTTCGAGAAAAATCAGAAGAGTTTGACAAAAATTATTCGACTAACTTTGGACGGATTGGTATTTCAACTAGCTCATGAGGAATATGACGATTTTGAACGGTAGGGTTCATATTTTCTTTACTGTTTTGTGTTTTAGATGTGCGGTAGTTGTAACTCACATATTGCGCGATCTGGAGCCATACGCAAAGAGTGCTGCGATTTTCTTGGCCATCCACAACATCGTGTCAAGTAAGAAGAAAAAGGCGAAGCAAGTGTACTTTGAATGGGCCAAGGATGCTCCGCAATCCACGAGTATTCTTATTCTTGAAGTTCTTTGGAAATTGCATGATCTGGGACTGGAAGCATGGAAAACGAGTAAGAAAAATATAATTTATATTGTGCATGAGTGTATTTTCTTTCATAATATCTGTTTTCTTGCTTCCAGGGCAAGAAATTGATATACTGGATGTTGGGCGTCTGATGAGATTCTCCTTTGAAGCGAAGCGCGACAGAATTTTAGACATCTGCCAAGAGAATTTGATAAAGATTTTGAAGAAGTCCAGTTTCGATTGCTTTATTTATCTCCGAGATCTGTTCTACCGATTGGGATTGCCATCGAAGCATCCCTTTTCTCTGGCGGTATCGGCCGTGATTCTGAGGAAATGGGCTTGTTTTGAACCGATGGAACCATTGGGAAGGGAGATCATCAACACAGTAATCGATGGAAAGGTAAACTAAAACTACTAATTGATCACAATTATTGTTACAGGAAGAAGTAGTCGAGGTGTATTATGAGATCCTCTTCGAATTCCTCCGAGATTCACATAGATGCATTGACGAAGAGAAATTAAAAAAAATTCTGGACCATTTGTGTAAAAATATCGATGAAACCATATCTCATCCATGGCGATTCAAGCTTTTCAATCTCTTCTTCACACTTAGGGATACCCAAATTCCAGTTCCTGCGAGTGTAAGTTGTTTGCAAAAGTTCAGAATATTGTAGTATATTTGATGATCTAATTTTTAAGATTCTTTTCCTTTTCAGTTTGCCATAAATTCTGTTCTCCCCCGGTACGACGAATTCAAGAAAGACCCAGCTTTGGGACCACTATTTATCCAATTAAAACACCTCTGCCATCTTGTTTTACAACAACGAGAGAGGCTTTTACAGGTAGCTGGAAGCAAATTCAAGGGGAAGAGCAAGGCGCAGAAGGCGCTTACAGCCCTGAAACCGGGATTGGGTAGGTTTCAACTGGATTTTCAATTTTATACAGGAAATGTAATATTAGACCAAAAAGGTTCTCAAATGTTACAGTAACCCACAATTAAACGCAAAACTTTTGGGCTGAGCCGGGGATCGATCCCGGGACCTCTCGCACCCTAAGCGAGAATCATACCACTAGACCACTCAGCCGACGTTCAGCTTGCTCTTATCCACCGATCTGCTTCTCGGGATTCTTTGTCAATGGAGAGTAGCTTTGAAAACGTTTTGCGAAATGAAAAAGAAAAGAATAATTGGTTCAAAAAAGAAATCCTTCGAATGGTCAGCTCTTTCCGAGCGTGGCTGAGTGGTCTAGTGGTATGATTCTCGCTTAGGGTGCGAGAGGTCCCGGGATCGATCCCCGGCTCAGCCCAGAATTTTTGATTTGGTGATCTGCATACTTGTTTCTACCGTAGTTACATTATTTTTTCTTTTTAGGCTCTCTTTTGTCCAGTACTTACATTGAAGACAAGAAAAAGGAACAGCAGAAAGAAGGCGAGCAAAGCGAAGAACCAGAAAGTTCAAAGGTGGAAGAGCTCTTCAAGGGCATCAAAGTGGATGAGGAAGTTGTTTTAAGCAGCGATGAAGAAGAGGTGAAGGTTCTCGAAGTCAAACGGAAGAAGATAAGTAGTGGGATTGAGGTGATCGGAGAGAAAAAACCGAAAGTTGCAATTGTTGATGATTTGAACAAGATCCTCGTCCATCAAGAGGAGGACGCCAAAATTGAAGAGAATTCCGAGGTAAGAAGAATTATAATGATTCATTTAATACCATATTTTTTAGGTACCTATCGAAATTGATGGTGACGAGGAAGAAATTTATGTTGAAGAAGAAGATGACGACGAAGTAGTGACCTTTTTGGATATGGAGATGCCAAAGAGGAGGGCTAAAGAGATCTTCCAGACCACGTTCGGGACAACGGAAGTCATCCCCGGCAGGCTCAAAGTGCGGCTTGACCCATTGAAACCCAAGGAAATTGAGGTAAGAACGGCTCTTTATACTGAAGACGAGCGATAGGTTATGATGATTGAGTAGTTTTTAGCGGTTTGGTAGTTTACAAAATTATAGAAAAAAATTTGGCAAAAAATTGGAAAAAGTATTCTTGGGCTGAGCCGGGGATCGATCCCGGGACCTCTCGCACCCTAAGCGAGAATCATACCACTAGACCACTCAGCCACGCTTCAAACAAGCCTTTTTCCACGAATGGGTTTCGGAGGCTTTCGAAGAAAGAAACGAACGCAAACTGGTTTTGGATTTGTTTTATAAGAACTGGGGAGATAATCAGTTCTTTGTGGTTTCGAAAAGTTTATTGCAATCGATGTAAATGTGTCATTTTTCGCATTTTTTTCTTTTGTAAAATTTTTGACGGCTTTATGTCAAGTGTAATTTAATTTTAATTTCAGGACGGCACAACCAATGTTATGGAAAACCGCTCGAATCCGCAGTTGGAAAAGAGGATCCGCGATATCTTCGATCCGGTAAATTCCGAAAGAGAGATTGCAAAAGTGGCCAATGAATTAAATATCCGCGAAGAAGATCTGACTGGGGACTACAATATTGGAGAAGAGGACCCCGAATTCATCAAAGAAACAGCCAATCAGATTGCGGAGATGTTCAAACAGCAGATGGGATTCAAATAATCTTGTTAAGTAACTTGTTTTATACGTCGGGGACAAGGATATTGTTTTGTTGTATTTTGGGTTGGGCATAGCTTAAAGTTGATGTTAAGATGTTCTAAATTTCTGGTTATACTTGAATTTGTTGTTGAAGAACTGCACTGTTGTTGTTTTAATTCATTTTTGTTGATTTTTATTGTTACAAATAAACTCAAACAATGTAATTTTTGTCTCGCTGGTCCCTCTTGATCCGCCCAAATTCTCCAGGCCCCAAAAGCCATAAAAGTTGTGGAAAAAGTGTCGGCGGGTTACGCAATCCTCCTCCTGTATTCCCTTTCTTGGGCTTCCCCTCCAGAAGCACCTCTTTTACAATCGAAGCGCACGGAAAATAAAAGAGGGAATGAGGAAATTTTATTGGAAAAATCAAGTTGTAGGGTACCTTCTTCCCTCTTTTTTTGCCGCCCACCGGTCGTAAAAACGGGCGGAAAAGGCATGCGCGGACTTTTTTTTTTTTTTTTTGGCACTTCCGATCCACCTGGATGCCATGGATCCGTTTATTTAATATGCGCAATGTTTGGGTTTAATTCAATTTATGGTGGGAATCAAACAAGTGTCGCCCCTTCTTTGTCATGCTTATGGTAATCGGCGGGGCTTTATGACGTTCTGCTTGGAGGATCGGGCTAATTTCCGCACACTAATTATCAGAGACAAAGCCCGGGGGTGAGGGGGAAACCGATTCAGATCATTTCTTTACATAGAGCTGAAATTATTTTCAAAATTTTTCAAAAATTTTCCCATGCTTTTCAAATTGCACCATTGATTTTACAGAGGAAAAACGTATGGAGAACTGGTTTTTCAAGACATCGTTTCCTGAAAAGTGCGTTGGACCTCTAAGAAATCAAATTTTATATTATTTTAGGCCCTTTTATTGTGTTTTATGAAAAATTTTTGTTTAAAATTGTCTCTAATTGGCAGTTGGTTGTAAGCTGCTCCTTTTGATGACTTTATGGACTTGGAAATACAGTATGCCATCCAACATTTTAAATTTTTTTGTACGCTTTAAAATTTGTCATCATTTTAACCTCTAAAAAATGTTGATCTTTGAAAAATATTACAGTATGCGGCGGATATGTTTTGAAAATTCCGTTACTTTTGAACCCTCCGTTCGGTGTTTCTTGATTGATTTTCTCGCGCGCGCCACCCGATGACCGAGCAAACAGAACGGTTACGGTAATTTCAATTCGTTTTTAATCTCCCCGGAATTGAGTCATTGGTCTGGGGTTCTGAAAATGCGGGTCGTGGTCAGCTTTGCTGTTCTATAATTTTATTTTTAACCCTCGATTACTGTAGTTTAAGTATGTTTGATAAAATGGACTATTGAAGTTTTGAACTTTAGTGGAATTGCTTGGACAATAGCTGGAAAATTTGCGGAAAATTGTTCATTTAATCCTATGGGATCTGTGGGCAAAATAAGTTGCTTGTCCATCGTTATAATTGGACGGTAAAAGCGGCTCGATATTAAGATATCATGCATAATGCCTTTAAGAATTGTTGGTTCATTAATAAAACTGTCGCAAAAAGATGCAGAAATCACTTTTAATGCTAATTTGTAGTTTGGAGCACTAAATTGTTTACAGTACCCCTCGTTAAACAGAATGCCAGAGATGGCGGGAATTTTAAAACTTAAATTTTTGATTATTTAAACTTTTCGTCGGGCTTATTTTTACTATGGTTAAGCAAAGTATTGATCAAAATTTTCAAATATTTTTAGTCCAATTTATCCTGCACTAGCTTCGAAAAGCCATGCCGTAACTCCCTCCGCCAACCCTACCTCAGCTCGGGTCGAAAGAAAAGAAAATTAAAATCGAATCAGAAGTCTCTGAACTCGGAATCTGACCATAAACTTCGGGGATATAATAAAAGAAAGGGAAGGAGAAGGTCGTAACCAGAATAGACTGCACCCCACTCCCCAATCACCCGCCCGCTCCTGCTCCCATGGCATACGGTACTCTGATGGCGGTGATCTGTCTGGGGATCAGCATTCGACAGAGCTTCGGGTCCTTCAGGAATTATGTCAAGCCGCCCGATGAGCTGTTTCAGGTGAGATTTGTGATGCTGTAGGAGAAGGTAAACAAAAGAGTTACAATTTCTCAGTTTTAAAAGTAATGAAACGTAAAACAAAAATTATCTCAAGGTTTGGCAAACGTGCCCTAGGGACTTTTATAACAAATTTTTTGAAGTACTATCTTTTGCGTCACCCAATTTTGCGGGAAGAGACAGCCAGAAAAAAGGAGTTGTTGTTCTCTAAGCGTTATATTTCCCCAAAAGTATCAAGAACTTTAGTTTCTCAAAAAAAAAACGTTCTGGCTCTGCAAAGCACGCGTTAAAAATCTCTCATAGCTATATTATAAAATCTCAATTTCTTCCGATATTCAAATTCACACTATTATTTGAGAGAAAAATTAAATCTATGTCACTCTAAAAGTATGAATTTTGTAACATTTTCAGGGCTGTTCCCCTGAGCTCCAACATGTCCATTCCTTTAAACATTTTACCTCAACTTGTAAAACCCAGCCAGCATTAGCCATAGTTGCCTTTGAAGGGATAATTGATGCGATGGAGGAGTGCCGAGAGAGGATGAGATTCCAGCCATGGGATTGCTCACAGCCGGGCACAGTTCTCCATGAACCATCGCTGCTCAGATACGGTAAGAGTTATTTTAATTTTTTTTATTTGAAAATGGTAAAATACGAGTGGCATTATGAAGTCTATTTTTCCTTAAATTTTTTTTTCACAAATTTTCAGTCATCAGAAAATAAAAAAAAATAAAAAACCTTTCCAGGCTACCGAGAATCGGCCTATCTGCTGGCCATGAGTGCCGCGGGAGCGGCCTGGGGCGTCTCGACGGCCTGCGCTCAGGGTTGGCTAGCCGAATGCAAATGTATCCCGCCAAAAATCAACACCGATCATATGGATGCGCAACAAATCGAGGAGTTGTCGCAGGACCCGGATTGGCAGTGGAGTGGATGCTCTTTCGGGGTTCAATATGGCATCGGGACCTCCAGAAAGTTGTTCACAAGAACTGCTGGGCACTTGAGAGGGCCGTTGAAGCGGCTGGAAAAACATAATCTCAAAGCTGGACGATTGGTATGATAACAGGGGACTTAAAAAAAATTCTTTTTAAGTCATGGATAATATTTTTCGGGAAAATAGTTTTTGTTAAGAAAAGAAAAACTTTTTTCTGAAGTTTTAAGACAAATTAGAGTATGTTTCGAAGTAAAAAATATATATTGTAGGCAGTAAAAAAGACCCTAATCCAGCAATGTAAATGCCATGGAGTGAGTGGAAGTTGTCAGCAAAAAACGTGCTGGAAAAAGGTGGCCGACCTCAAAACAATATCAGATTACATCACTGACAAGTACTACAAAGCCAGGCAGCTTATCAATGAAGGCACCAGAGTCAAGAGCTCTGATTTGGTAATCATTTTTTCAATATTTTCTAAAAAATTTTCAAAAATGCCCTAAAGTCATACTTCTGCAGATTTATTTGGAACAAAGCCCAGAAACCTGTACGCCCTTCACGTACGAGGTGAAACAACGTCGATCACTGCCGAGGATATGCAATTGGAGGAACGAGACGCATTCCATGGGCGACTGTAATACTTTATGTTGTGGTAGAGGGTTTACGGTAGGTTGATAATCAATTTATCGATATGCTTTAGGTACGACACGAACCCGTCACCTACAAATGCGATTGTAAAATTGTGTGGTGCTGTAATTTACAATGCAACGAGTGTCTGCAACATCAATGGGTCTCAACTTGTAATAATTAATTCTAATTTAAGCTAGATTTTTAGCTATTATGTTATGAAGAAAGCTTTAATACTAATGGTAGAAATTAAAGTCTAACAAAAAATTAGTCTGCATTATATTTTTATGTACACAAATTTCACAAAGCAAAAAACGTTCCTCCCCGGCCGGGAATCGAACCCGGGTCTCGCACGTGACAGGCGCGGATACTTACCACTATACTACCGAGGACACACCTGAAAGCTCTTATTTATTCGTGAAATGAGTGAACAAAAGTTTGAATTTGCGTTTCATCCTTTCGGTGCCGGTGAGTAAATGATCGGGAGGGACTTTTTGGAGATCACTGAAGTTCTCGACATCAGACCAAATCTCTACCATGCGGTTTCGGACGGGATCAAACTAAAAAAATTTAAAATTAGGGTCAAATAACCAAAAAATGGGCTTTTTTATGATTAATAAAGTAATATAACCTACAACTGCATGTTCATTTTTGTTGTTATTCGGATTCCTTCTGTAAACTCCCTTCTTACGTTGAGCTTTCGCTTTCCTCGCTCGAATCCTCATGGCTTCCATTCGGCCGATTAAAGCGGCGTCAATCTTCATTTCCGGATCTTCCGGAGCAACTGCATTGGGGCCGAGGATGTCTCTAAAATACGGTACTATTTTCTTAAAACAAAACCTTTAATTTGAAGTCAAAATCTGAGATTTTTCGATATTGCTTTAGCTTACTTGATGGTGACTAAAGTTTTCGCTGTCATTGGGCGACAACAAACGCAAGAGACAAAGCTTTTAGTAGTTAGGGCCGTTGATAGCAGCTTCTTTGTTTGGTCAACGTTATTGACCGGTATTCCATCCACATCCAAGATTAAATCGCCAATTTCCAAACACCCATAGCCTAAATTAATATAAAATAATTTTTTAAAAATATTCTAAAGTAATCTAACTGCTAGAGCTAGTGCAACACGACAGTTCATGTCTCTGAACCGATGGTTTAGGTGTATAAACAATAATTTGGACCCACCTGGACTCCAGTCTTCAACTCTCAGGACCGCGACCATTCCATTATGAGATTTTACCGTAATCCCCATCCGAGAGCTATTAATACTGCGGATGTAGGCCGTGAAGTATCTATCGCCTGTCCTTTTGTCAATTCGCAGCCTTTTTTGTCGATTTTTGGAGACATTTTTGGAGGTGACCATCCGATTTACATGTAAAGTCATGGGCGACGGGAGCTTCTGGAGGAATTGATTGAATTCATCGACGGTTGTAACCTATAAAAAGTGGATTAGTAAAGACCAAGGTGGTTTAAATAAAATTTCAAAATTTCAAGTAAAAACCGCTGAGTTTTTCTTAAGTTGTCATAAATAATATAAAAAGTTTACAAAATCTTATAAAAATTACCGGAAAAGTGTTGATTTGGACAACAACGTCACCAAGTTTGAGTTGATCCCAAAAAGGCGAGACATTTGGTCGCTGATCCACGTCCACCACCATCATCTTCTCGTTCAACTTGATTCCGGTCTGAAGGACTACCCTAGATTTTACGGACTTACATATTGCCCATTTTCGTATTCAAATGTAAAAACGACTTTCTTGACGGGTGCTCCCATTGCCAATTCTCTTTTCAGCAGTTCTTCCAACGGCACTTCCTCGTCTTCAGTCTCGTTTGTGACAAGGGTAGTTTCCAAATCCTCGTCTTGAGTTACAGGCAACATTTGGGACTAAAAATAGAATTTGGATATCTGACGTCAATAATATAAATTGACATCAAAAACAATGTAATTTGGTTCCTCACCCCTCCACTGTTTTTGGTCCGCTTTTTTCGACCAACCGCCTGTTTTTTGTTGGCCATTGCAGTGGCCTTCCGCCGGGCCTCGGTCTTCCTCTGGGGGGTGACTTCATCCTGATCTTGGGTGGTCTCCTCCGTTTCTCGGCTTTTTGGTTTATGCATATTCGAATCTAATATACATTGGGCACACTGTGTGGAGGCTTACTGTATTCCGACAATCCTCGAATGCGGCTTCGGATGTCGATGAAAGGCTCGGCGGAAGAACCAATCAACCGCCGCTCAATGACAAGAAAGGAAATGGGAAATGAAGAAGAATCCGGGACCAATTTGACATCCCGATCTTTTCATAATTTAGGAAAAAATTTGCATAAAAATCGAATGTTCGCTCATTAACTTTTTTTGAAATTTTCATGATCAAATATGGAACTTTAGGGGCAACACTGAAGCCCTTTTCTTGTAAATACGACAGCCTTGTTTACACTGATGTGTTTGTCTTATCTTTTTGACAGAATCATCGATTTCTTCATGTACTTTTATTATAAATCAGTTCCGTTATCTGTCCTTTATTTGCACTTCATTTTTTGAAGGTTATATCCGTCTAATTTTATCCGACCTAATTTCTATAAATCACTGACATGACAAACATTACATATCCGCCCTAGGCTATGTTGAAAGGGGATCAAAAATCGCTCGAAAACCTTCGGAAACTTGCGATCATTAATTTTTGTCGTATGACCCAAGTTTTCCTACTTAATTCAACGGCAGAAAATCGACAAGTGTACAATTGTGTTGTCCCCTACAGCTGCACCAACAAGCTGTGCATGTCTTTGTGAACATTTGTATTGCAATTTCATTTGTTCAAGGGATCAAAGGGAATCCCTTTTCCCGGATTACAATACCCAAATGTTTCCAGTCATTCTCTTGGTCACCCTTTTATACCATGGCGTTGATTCGAATGTTCTCGATTACTTATCATATGTCGATGTGGCCTTGTTAATCCATTCCACAACAACAGAAGCTCCAACAACGACGGAGAGTATTGATTTGGCGTTGGGTGGAACGCCTGAGAACGGATTTGTGGTCGATTATACAGCTGCGCCTTATTTGGAATTTGCAGAAACCAACTGTAAGCACACTGTAATTTTTTTGAAATCATAGTAATTTTATTATACATAATTTATTTCTTATACTGATGACATAATCTTCTTCAGCGGGTGAATGCGAGGATGACGCAAAAAATGATTGCACAGTGCCGAAGAAACGTAAATTATGTAATGATAAGGTGTACCTCAGCTTGATGAAGAAGTATTGCAAAAAGACTTGTCGATTTTGCGGAGACCAACAGAATGGACAGCCTCAACCTGTGGCGACCACAAGTAAGTGGTTGATTTTGTAACTTTTTCACAATTTTTATATCTTATCGTAAGGCTTCCCAGTTTAGCCCTAGAATAGGACTAAAAGATTACTGTAAAGTTGTTTTTTATCGGATCTGTACCTAACCTCGCCTTGACAAAGAAGCCTCAGCAGTTTCTAAGTATTACATTTCGCGGCGAACTTGATAATCAGCCGATTAAATTTTAAACTACAGACTAATGGACTTTCGCTCTATCCCTGGATTTTATTGATGACTTGTAAGCATACCACCATACTTTTAGATAAAAACAAATAAGAGGAGATTCTAAAAATGTGTTCAAATACAACACGAGACGCCGTGTATAAACAACCTATATAACCATTAACATTTTTTACACCATGTTGTTTGTCGGTATAGTGCTTATTTTAATAGTTGTCATTATTTTCAGCGGAATGCAAAGAAGATACGACCACAGATTGCCAAAAGCCAGAGGTCAGAAGGTTATGCGACAACGCCGCTTACCATCGGCTAATGATGCTGAAATGCGCCAAAACCTGTGGTTGTGGCACGACAGTCAACACTCCGAGTACTCCATCTACACCAACAACAGCGTCAACGCCGACTACAGATTCAACAGCGAGCACACCGACCACTCCCACCACACCAACGGAAGGCACAACAGACACAAGTGCATCTACGAAAAGTTTGGATGATTGTGATTAGAAAGAAGGGACAGACAGTCATCGACTTGATTGTCTCGACGATTCGCTTCTGTTTCTAGTTGTTTGTACTTAATTTTGATAATAGATTGAAGAGTTTTAGCATTAATTTTACATCTAATTTCATCGTAGATGTTCTCCCAACAGGCACGTCCTAATTAAAAGGCAGAAGATAATTGGAGATGGCAGAAGTGTCAATTTCTATTTTCGTGGTTACTAATAAATAAGGTTGGCCCTCGCGTTTTTCGTTGCCCTGCGAATGGCAGAAGGGGAAGATAATTATACGCAGGACAGGGAAAACACGCATATTCTATGGAGATTAGGATACACGCAGGTTCGAGGGAAGGAATCCGACGTGCCCTTGGGGAGGGTTTGTTTGTCTGAAAAGTTGGAAACGTAAATACTGAGAGTACCGGGAAATGGAAAAGTTGATTATCATTAAAAGCTCGGTGAACCGTTTTTGAGGTAACAGTTGGAGAACAGAGGAATTGCGAGGCAAAGTTTGATGAGATTTGATATAAATATAAGCTGCGGTTTTCTATGGAAAGACAAGCCTATTTATTTCACTGAAACCACAATATTTTTATAGTTCTAAGGTTGCCAAGAATTCTAATTTTTGAATTTCGTTAAAACTTATGAGTTTTTTGGAAACGAGTGCACACCGTTCCTACAAAAAACCATTGTTTTATGGTAAAATGGAGGGGTTATATTAAGGGTTACATCATTAAAAACATATCTAAACTCTCCGATTTTATTCCCCATTTTTCTAATCATTGTAATTAGCTACCGCCCACGTAAACCCTGCAAAATTCGTTTTTATTTCCTCCATTTATGCCGCTTCCAACTGCGACATTGTCCTCGAAACGCAAAAAACATTCCCAAAAAATTGTTTTATCGGAAGAGTAAACATCGGAATGTGGGATCAGAACTAAAATAAGATTAACTTTTTTGTTTACTCTCCCGTGAGTAGGACTTCGGCCGCTCAATGACACGCCTTCTGAGGCCAAAAGTAATCCGAGTAAGACCATTTGGAACATCTGACTTGATACTTTTCGAGAAATCTCGACTCAGCGAGGTGGAGGGGATGTCCTTGGATAAGAATGTGTTGTGTGGAGGTCTGTAATAGGCCGGGAGTGACAGTATTAGTGTTTTCAAAAAGTTTCAAATACGTCGCTGCGAGCGATGATAGGAATTTGCATAGTGCAGACGGTTTTTTGAGGTTTGCACGATGCGCAAAGCGAAAAATCCACTTTGGTGAAAAGTGTGGGAAAAATTTTAAGATGCACTGTGCGAAAACAAAGAATCCATTCACTTTATGAAAATACTAATATAAGATGTTTGTTTGTTGGAATTTTTGACTCTGGGACGTTCGAAAATCTTTTCTCATGGCACTACTCTTGTCATGAAGTAAATAGAAAAACTTCGAATAGGAAATCTTTCCCAACATGATATTTTTTCAGAGCAATTCTCTAAATCAAGATTGATCGCATACTTTATTCCAGATGGTCAAAACATTATTCATAGTCTGAAATGCAACTTGCAAGTGGATACGCGATCCATGACGACCATTCTCGTGTTCGTCATCCTTCTTTTTAACGTTCTCAAAAGTCAGGTCCCAGTTATGAATCCCGTCTTTAAGTGAACAAACAAAAAGCCCTCAGAATTCCCAATCCCCTCAGGGTTTAAACACTTTTTGAACTTCGAGAAGAGACAAAAAGTCTCACTGTCGAGGGCTAAGCGAGTACAGGATTTTTGAATTTTAAAATTGGTTCATTCCATAGTCTTTGATTGTTTGTTCAACTGAATTTCGTTTTATTTGGACTTTTGATATCTAGGGGGCACTTTTGTAGGGTAATGGTAATGTTATAATTCAGTCAAAACAACAATATTTATATTGTAATTTATGCTGCATAAAAGATGTTTTATATTACCGTAGAACAAGTTTATACAATTATTTGAAATTGTCATCAAATATTTTTTTTATTTGAGCCCTCAAACAAATTTGAGTGGATAGTAAACAATTACAGAGTAGTTAAATATTCTCCCAGATTATCGTAATTTAATAGTTCTTTAGGCAAAAAAGGGACTTTTGAAGGGAAAGAATTGAATTTGTAATTACCATACCAATTTACTTACCATATAAAGGAGCTGGGAGTTGTTTTCTTTTGGAGCTATTCTTTTTACTGAAGTTTTTTATGGGTTTACATGTGGGTTTTAAAAAACATGATCTTCAGCGTTAGTTTTTGTTTTTTTTTCTTCTAAATAATCAAATTTGTTTTGCAATTTTTTTTCAGGGTCTATCTGCAGCAATGACAACAAAATTATTGTCCCTAATATGTTTATTCATAATTTCAATTAATTTTGTCACTTCCTCAGCCCTTTTGCATTACCAAAACCAAACAAAACGACATTTGGCGGACACTTCGACCAAAACCAGGGTAAAACAAGACTCTGTGGATCATAGGCTAATCGAAATGTTGTTGAAAAATTATGACAAAAATATTCGACCGCCTCCAAGTGATCGAAATGGTATGTTACAGTATTTACAATTATTATTATTATTATTTTTTTTTGAGTTTTTTTAATAATACGATTTTTTTTAGCGAAAGAAGGCCCTGTCTTGGTGAAAGTGAACATGTTGATCAGAATGTTGAGCAAAATCGATGTGGTAAACATGGTAAAAATTTATAATTTTTAAAATACGATGCTCTCTGTATATTCTCACTGAAAAAATACAATTTACACAACGAATTTTTTAGGAATATAACATGCAAATTACGCTGCGTGAACAATGGCCGGATCATCGTTTGGCCTACGAGAAATTCAACAATATATCTTATAAACCCAAATTCTTGACGGTACCCTATGCCGCAAAACACATTTGGATGCCCGATTCTTTCTTTCCGGTAAGATATATAAAAATATTTTGATTACAATATAATTTTTTTGTTTTTTTAGACCGAAAAAAATGCCCATCGTCATCTAATCGACACGGAGAACATGTTTATACGGATTTACCCGGACGGGACGGTCCTTTATAGTGTCAGATTATCATTAACTTGCTCTTGTCCCATGTATTTGGCGGTAAGTTGGTCTAAAAAAAAATACAAGTATTCATAAGGTTTTTGGTTTCTTTTTTGTTTTGCTCCGATTGACTTGATTTTTGGCATGAGGGTTGCTTAAGACTGTCTCATCATAAATTTGAAAAAAAATTTCGAAATTTTCAATTTTGAGTGACCTATGACGTCACGAAAAGTCAAAACTTTGAGCTACCATATCTCGCTTTGTTTTATAGGTATCGACTTGAATTTTGGTTTCGTCGCGTATGGTACATAATGGGACAATCACTGTCGAGATTTTTTCGAAATTTCAAAATTTACGAAAAAAATCTCAAAAAATGACCTTTTTTCGTAAACGTTCGACGCGTCCAGCTTTATTGAAATGCAAGCTTCTACAGGTCCATATCGGAAAAGCAAATTCATAACTAAGAGATATCTCAATGTATGTGTAGATACGGCCATGTACAAAGTTACACTTCCAGAAAACCCCGTCATGATGACGGATTTTCTGGATTTTTTCGATTCCATTGAATTCTACGTACCAAACTTCCTATTAGGTTGTGTCTTTCTTTTTTGTAGTGCACTTCGTATTTTAGCCATGGCTTACTGTAAAAAATACGATTTGCACAGTGCAAAGTTCGACAAAATGGTTCTCGGCTCCCAGGTCGAAATTCAAAAAAATCACTCGCAAATCTTATTTTTTTTGCCCGAAGATTGTCCCCAAACTTTTTCAGAACATTCTACGTAGCCATCTCCTCAAACAAATCTCCCGACGGAAAACGCAATTTTTCGAAATTTTCAAAATTTTGACTTTTTCAAATTTTTCTCCCTGATGAACAACAACGACGTCAAAAACGTCTAACTATGGTTTGTAGAGCTCAAAGAGCTCTACACATTACCCGCTTACATCTTCAGCGTATCTTTAAAATTACGGTCGTCAGAGCGGCCGGAAATTTCGGTCGATTTTTGGTGCACTGTGCGAAAAACATTGCCCTCAGGGCAATAAGTGAGGTGGAGAAAATTGATCTCACGGGTACTATAGGACACAAAATGAGCTACCATCGTGTCAAGTTTTAGCTTTCTATCTCCAATATTCCGTGCGCACTGTGGCTCAGAAAAAAAAATTCGAAATTTTGGCCGAATTTCGGCCCTGAGGGCTTGAAACGGATTTTTTTCGGATTTTTATTGCCACTATCGTATTCAGCATAGCAAACTGATGTAGAAACAGGTATCGATTCCTAAAATACGGACAAGGTGAAAAGGCAGTGTTTAGATTTCCGAATTTTTGGATTTTACTTACTTTGACGAAAGTTACCATAGCTCGGAAACAAGGTCGAAATTCAAAAATCGCCTCGGTTAAATGATAGCGAGTCGCAGTATCACTCTACAACCGGAATATAGGAGATGTACAAACAAGTTATGAACGCAAATCGTGTGAACCCCGGAGGCACCCAAAAGTCAAAATTTTGTAAACCCGATTTTTCTCTAAAATTTCCAACTAAAATTCGTCTAAAAGTTACATATTCGGAATCTCCATGTCATTTCGGACATGGTCGTATCTTTTCCCCCGGTGCTTTTAGTGCAACAAGTGCCAGTTTTGAAAAAACGCCCACTTCCATGACCGAAAACACAAGAAAAGAGCGCGGCGAAGAGAGAGAGCGGGCAGAGAACCGCTTCCTTCTTCGTTTGGCGGGAGAAAAGAGAGAGTGAGAAAGGTGTGGAGGGTGGTTAGACAAAGGTTTTCCCTTTTGATCCGGGTCAGAGATAAGACGGAGAGAGTGCTGAGTGTGAAGAGGGTGGTACGGAAACTGTCATCGTGACGCGTAATGACGGGGATTTCTGGATTTTTTCGAGAAATTTTTGTAAAACTATTTTTTTGTTCCTGGATTCTCGGGATTTGGCCGTTTTAGGGCCAAATTTGACGGGGAGTTCGGGAAAAATATTATCTAAGGATACTTTTGAGTGCTGAGTCCTTTTTTTAGTTGATTTTTGCTTATTTTATGTGATTTTGATCAGCTTTTGGTGGAAGAAAAATTATTTTAGGTAACAAAATGTAGTCTCGTGGCGGCCGTAGGCCGTCGCCTCATGCCGGCGGGCTCTTTAGTCGAGCTTAGCGATCTGGAACTGACCTGAGCTTAGCGATTAGGGTAAGCTTAACAATCTTAACTTCTCGATCTAAAACAAAGTCGGCATAGCGTTTTGAGCGCTGCAGCTTTCCACTAGGCTCAGTCTAACGCGTAGCGTTTTTCTGCCGCGGCCGGAGGACGTCGGCAAAGCTTTGGCGAGCGTTTCTTCCACATAGGCGGATTTACGTTGGTTTTCGACGTTGAACAGGTCCAAATCGCGCGCAAAGTTGCCTTTATCCGCAGAGCTGCCCGAGAGACGGTAGCAGCCGCAGGCTGCGTTAGTCTCGAGCCCTAGTCGAATTGAATTTATTCGAAATAACCTTTTTACGGAATTTACATCGAGGAACTTTTTCGCAAAAATTTCCTTCAAAAACAATCAAAAACATCCTTTTGAAAATCCAAAAACTTTTATTTATTTCTCTTCAACGAAACGAGAAACAAACGAAAGAAAGGGTAAAAAATAAATGCACGGCGAGACGTCGGCTGAGTGGTCTAGTGGTATGATTCTCGCTTAGGGTGCGAGAGGTCCCGGGATCGATCCCCGGCTCAGCCCCAAATTTTTGTTTTTGATGTTTGGGTTACTGTAAGATAGAAGTTTGAAGAATTGTGTGGCTTTTGCAGTATTTTAAAACAAATATTTCTCAGTTTTTTATAGTTTTAAACTTTGTTGATTATTTTATTTATAGTATGATTTTTTCAGTTATATCCCCTTGATGTCCAGCATTGTGATTTTGATTTGATCAGTTATGCATTTACAACCAAGGATATTGTCTACGAATGGGATACCTCGGGAGATCCGGTTCAAAAGAAAGCTGGAGTTGGCACCGATCTTCCGAATTTCCATTTGGCTAATATCGATACCGGAATTGAATGCACCAGTCATACTAATACTGGTGAGAATTTTTCATAAAATTTATTTAGCAACTAAACCGAGTCAACCCACGTTTTACCGTTTTTCAAAGTATATTTGGCCATTTTCAGGGACCTACGGTTGTCTCCGGATGAGATTGAAGTTGACCCGTCTACTACAATATTTTGTGTTACAACTCTATGTGCCGACTGGAATGATTGTGATTGTCAGTTGGATGAGTTTCTGGATTGACAGCAGCTCGACTGCGGGCAGGGTAGCCCTGGCTGTGACCACTCTTTTGACTTCTTTTACCATGCAAACCTCAATTAATGCTAAACTGCCTCCAGTAAATTATGTAAAAGTAATCGACGTCTGGCTGGGAAGTAAGTTTTTTGATAGCAGATGAAAGCAGAAACTATTTGAGCGACAAGTTAAAAGTCTAGCAATATTTTTTCGGATAAATACAGTAATCGTAAAATTTGAACCTAAAGTAATATAAATGATGTTCACAAATCTAATACGTTCTGTTTTCAGCCTGCCAGACCTTTGTATTCTTGTAAGTTTAACTTTTTTTCGTAATTTCTAAGTAGTTTTGCTACTACCAAGAAAAAAAAATTACATTAGAGCTACTCTAATCTTCTTCTTTTAGCGCTCTCATCGAATACGCAGTGGTTTGTTACAAAGAAACCAATATTCAAAATGAAAAAGCGGCCGAGATGAAGTTGCGTAAGAAACAACAAAGACCCAAGGAGCTGGGGGCATTCGAAAGCGGGGATCCGAGATTACCTTGTACTTGTGGGGTAAGTCAGCAAAATCTTTTAAACATTTAGGAGGAGATATGGAATTCGTATTTTACAAACAAAAATTTAGTGTATCCCGTAATAGCTATCATCAAAAATAAAGTTTCAAAATCTATTGTCAAACTCTGAGATGAGTATTTTCACCGAGCAATTATAATAGCGAGGTGACATGAAGTTCCGTGTTTTACAAACAAAAATCTAGTATACATATTCCGTAAAAGGTGTCATCAAAAATAAAGTTTCAAAATCTATTGTCAGGATCTGAGTATTTTTCCCCAGCGCTTCTGATTGCGCGGTGACATGAAGTTTCATATTTTACAAACAAAAATTTAGTATATCCCGTAAAAGGTGCCATCAAAAATAAAGTTTCAAAATCAGGAAAAAGCCGGTTTTCCCAATTTATTCGAGCCTTCATTTCACAGCGGTTTCTGCAAAGCGCGCACTAAAAATTTCTCGTAAGTCTTCGAACCCCTTAACGTCAATATACGATAACTATAATATAAATATTATCAAAATCTGAGTATTTTACCCGAGAAATTATGATTGCGCGGTGACATGAAGTTTCGTATTTTACCAACAAAAACCAGCAATTTTACAAATTTAGTTTAGAGTTTGATTCCCGGATCTAATTCTAGGCAATGGACACGAGCCAATCCATTTTCGCTTCCCTCGGCGCCTTCAGTCCCGTTCTTTCGACCATGGTCCCTTTATCCGCCGGAATCCTAACTGGAAGCATGGCCGAGAACATGGTTGCGAGTGATTGTTGTGGTCGGATGAGACCCGCCTTTGCCTACCGAACCCCCATGAATCTCTCTTCCCGGTCGTTTTGGCAGATGCTCAAGAATAAATTCAAAAAACCCGACTATCTCCCGGCCCGGATTGATTACTACGCCCGGGTTTATGTCCTCCTTTTCTTCGCCGTCTTCAATGTGTTGTATTGGACTGTCTGTCTTTATATGGCCGCCAATTGGGAGCATCCAACCAAATGAACGAGTAAAAAAATATTTGAATTTGATGTCTACTACAATATCACCAACCACGTATCCATGACCGAATCTCCTATTCCCTGTAAAGTTTCGTGAAATTAATTATTTGAATAAAGTTCTGAGTCAAAAGCGGTCGAATAATGGGCGAAGAAGAGGGTTGCCCCATCTGGATCGCCTTGGCCTACGTGGGCGTGGTTTATTCTTTGGTCGTGTTGTCCATAACTTTCATCGCTTCGTATTATGTGGCTGTAAATTGTGGGAAACATCCGTTGGCAGTCAAATGGTGGACCAAATCATACAAGAAAATATTTCAGGAAATGAGGTAAGAGGGCTGATACTTAAGGATAATATAAGCTGAAAAGCTATAAAACATTACCCGCTATTAACCTGAAAAGTTCGAAATTGACCTTTAAATTATATCCCACCTAACCTTCCGTTATAAGACAGCAGTAGGCACTAGTTGTATCAAGTGTAATATAATGATGCACCGATCGAGCTAAATTAGTCTCCCTATGGCTTCAGAACGCTCAATAGCTATAAGAGTCCCACAGCCAACTCCCCAACGGCGCACACTGAGCAAGAGCCTGCCATGAAGAAACTTGATACATCAATCCAAAAAGAGTAATTGTTCCATTATCCGTCTAACGCTGATTTTCAGAATCCCAAGTAACAACAAAGTTCGCCAGAAAGCAAGCGGCCCGGAGAAAAAGCCCTCAAAAGTAAAGAATCAATAAACGGAATCTTATCCTTCTTTTATTCGAATTTTGATTCTACAATCAATAAAATCACCTAAAGCCCGGTCTATTGGGATTCCTCTTGTTGTTGGGCCAAGATCTTGGGCTTAATGTGCTTCCACAACTTTCCTTGGTTGTTCTGCAATATTACTCGACATAAATATCGTAAATGACGTATTTTACAAATGAAAAAGCGAGAGGTAACGCTTTTTGTTAGATCTTAAAGACAGAACAAGCAATAAAATCAACTTACGGATTCCCAGAAAGCCTCAGTTCCCCTGTTTAAGACCAAATCCAACACGAAAACTCCTCCGGCAGCGGTCAAGAGTAAGGTGGAGAATCGCTTGCCGGCAACATTGTAGAAGGTTCCGAAGACACCCATGTCTCAATCTGGATTCGGTTTAGACAAACTGAAAGCAAAAAACGTCACATTTCCTAAAACGAACAAAAATCGCGGTAAAGTAATTGGTGAAGAGGTAAAATAATATTTTATGATGGATCTGATGAAAAAAAAAATTAGAAAAACGTTTCATTTAGTACCATAACAACCCACAACAATTATATTACACATGAGTTCAAAGAGAAAAGAATCCTTGAGACTGCAGCTAGCGCCCGAATGAATAACACAGGCGAGGTGCGCCCAGGCTGCGCAGTCTGCAGAAAAAATAAAAATGAATGGCGTCGGAAAGTAAAATACGAATTTGTATCCAAAGTTAGCATAGGATTTGTGGGAACAGAGTCCATTACATGGATTTCAGTGCCCTTTTCTCTAAACTTCTTATGGGCATCAGTTTCAGACATGAGCGACATTGAAAGTACATCTGATCCCAGCTTGGAGTCGAATGGTCGTTTCTCGGCGGTTGTAACTCCGGAGAGTTCAGACACTCCTCCACCTGATCTGAGTCGGCTTCGACCGACCAGAGTGTTGGCTCGTCGAGAATATGCCGAAGACGGAGATGAACAGCCCTTTGATCTGGTGGACGGAGATCTTTGCCGATGGGAGGAAGACGACATTAGTAGGTGTTTCAATTTTGCTTGATGACTTTAGAAAATGCAACAAGGAACGCTTTTGGTCTGCAGATTGAATTATTTATGCATATAGAACCCTTCTGTAAAAGCATTCTATTTCCAATCTCCTTTCAGAACTAAGATACGCCGCAGAAAATGCCCGATTACCCTATGATTGCATGAGTGATGTCGAGGTGGAGCTGTTCCCAGAGCAATGCGTTGATAATGCGACTAAGAACGTTTACGTTTTCCTCCGAAATTTCATTGTAAGTTTGTTTTAATAATTTTTGATACCTAATTTAGTTGAACCAATGGGATCTGAATCCTCGAATTGAACTGAGCCTTGCTTCGGTGTACGAAGAAATCCCGGTTGCTTATAAAAGTTTGTACAGCGTGGTACCGAAAATCCACGCGTTTTTGCAAAGATATGGCTATATTAACCATGGCTCCTTCTTGAGAGAAGGCGACATCAGCAAGAGTAAGAGTGATTTTTTTTTGATTATTGTTTTTAGTTCCCCAACAGAAATCGAAGCATCGAGTAGTCGTGGTTGGTGCCGGAATCGCCGGTCTCGTTTGTGCCCGCCAACTTCAATTCTTCGGATTTAATGTTGTTGTTGTGGAAGCTAGAGGTCGAATTGGAGGCCGGGCCTTTACTCATGAGGTTGGAAAAGGTCTGGAGTTGGGTGCAGATATCATTGAAGGCTCGAGTATGTTGTTCTGTCCATGTTTTGATCAATTTTTATGTTATACTAGACCATTAAAACAAGAATTGATCTAAAGCAATGCCATGTTTTTAGCTGGTAATCCAATCCTCACAGTGATGGGCCAAGAAGGCTTGACGAGAATTCCAGTCCAATCCGGCTGTTTAATTTATGATCAAGAGGGCGATCTTCTCCCAGAAGCTTATCTAAAACCCGTTCAGCAGCTCTTCCGGACGGTCTGCGAATCTGTATATAGTCTCACAAAGTTGCCAGTCGAGCAACTTAGTCGCAAACTTTCTAATGAAAGTTTGGAAAGTAAGTATTTTGTTTTTATGGATTATTTAATTTTAGGTAAAAATGGTTCGGAAAAGTCGGAGAATGGTACTGGAAATGGGACCCATGAGGTAAAAGAGACACCGAACGATAAATTGCTAAAGTTGAAGAGCTTCAGTGTTCAAGAAGTGGTGGAAATGATGCTAGAGTAACTGGATTTCTGTTGCTTTTTTTACTTTTCTTTAGAATTCAAGAGATGGATGCGTGTGATAAAAGATTTGAGTGTTCCAAGAGCTTGAAGTATCTCTCAGATTTCCTGGAACAAATCACTAAAGAGGTAAGGATATTTTTAAATAATTTATGACATTAAATTATATTATCCATGACATCAAATTAATTAAAACTTTAGATGATTATGATCAGCAAATTCATTGATGACGCGGGAAAGAAGTTGGTCGAGTTGGATGACGAGAATATCGAGCCGGATCATGAGGATTTGGACAAGATTGAGGACAAGGAAAAGCTCGATAAAGTTTTGGAGATCAGATGTCTTTCCAATGATCTGGAGATGGCTAAGGAACGCCTGGAGGATCTGATTGCACAGTATACGGATGTGGAGAGTGTCTCCAAGAACTTGAAAGCATCCGCTCCAGCGTAAGTCGAGGATTTTTCAGATAAAAAGATTTTTGCCATGGATAAGCGGAAAAGTTGCGATTTTTGTGCAAAATACAGAGATTTGTGATTACAGGTCAAACTTTATGGGCAAAAACGACCGAGACTTGTTCGAATTCTACTTGGCCAACCTTGAAAAGCGACTTGGAGCCCCGTTGGAAAAGATTTCCGCCTTTGAATGGGCTGGAGGAATCGGGAAAAACCTCAAGGGAGAGTGCTACATGGGTAAGAAATACTTTATTTTGGGCATAGAAAGTTAAATCATTTAGTGATAATGATTTAAAAAGGGTTTATACGGGTTTTTCTACTAATCTTTTTTGTAATCTTTAGTTGATGAAGGGATGGTTCGAATTGCGACCGCTCTTTCGTACAATCTCAACATCCAAAAGCTCTGTTCCGTATATGAAATTGAGGAAATCGAGAATCAACTTGGCTCAGAAATGGAGATTCGGTATCAAAAAACGGTTAAATCCTCGCATCATGAAGATGTGGCCCAACAATCTGATGATAGTGACATTGAAATCATCAACGAAGAAGAGGAAAACTTTGAGGAGGAAGACAGCACCCTCAGGGCTGATATTTGCGTCTGTGCCGTCCCGATCGGCATTTTGAAAGTAGGATTTTTGGAATTTTAGATCCAGCTGTCATGGTGAATATAATTTTTGTTTTTTAGGAGAAATTAATTGAAATTTCTAATGGATCAACTCCAAAATCGTCGAAAAATACCAATTCAAAGTCTCCGTCTGTCGATAAGTCGGATAAATCGAATGAAAAACGAGATGAAACCCCTGGATCCGACGCCTCCTCAAAGCTAGAAACGAAGCCAGATCGAATCAAGTTCATTCCGGAATTGCCCGACGAGTTCAAAGAGGCCATTGAGAGAGTTGGTAAGAAGCTACACCTGATTTTCTTTATTATTTTAGGCTTTGGAACGGTAAACAAGGTGATTCTGCAGTTCTCGACCCGGTTTTGGCCTGAAAATATGTTCATGGGACGACTGGGGGACCCGGGAAAGTCTAGAGGAGAGATGGTTCTGTTCCTCTCCAAGCCCAGATCCACATCTTTATACGCTTATCTGAGTGGGGAGTCGGCTTATTTGATGAATTATTTCGATGGAGAACTGCTGGCTCAGAGGTGTATGACAATATTGAATACAATGTTTGGAACCGAAGTCCCACCTAAGGTAATGAAAGCTTGCTGTTTTTTTGGAATGTGAGATTTGAAAGTTTGAATTCCCGCCAATCTTGGCACTGTGTTTTAACGGTGTCTAAATTGCTATTTATGGTTTAATTGAGAAAAAGTAAACAAAGTAAAGGTCAAAGGAGATCAATAATGATATTAAATGTTATTTAGAACTTGTTTTGAGAAATTTGGAACCTTATTTTACCTATTTGCAGCCGATCAAAGCGATAATTACGGAATGGCAGAACGACGCCTTTTCCCAAGGCTCCATTCCCTACATAAAGCCGGGCAATTCGGCCTCGGACTATGACCTCCTGGCCCGGCCAACCTCTCTCCTCCCCAACACTAGTAACAAGTTGTATTTCACGGGAGATTGGACTACATCAAGGTACCCGGGAACCCTTCATGGAGCATATTTGGCCGGATTAAATTGTGCCAGACAGATTGCGGACGCTTATTTGGGACCGGTCAATGATAGGAAGGTGATGGATGAGTTGATTAAAGAGGGAAAGAGGTTGCTGAACATCCATGAAGAAAAGTTGAGGAGTCGGAGGGATAACGGTAAGTGATTTCGAGTGAAGTACGAAAATTTTTGTTGGGTATTTGATTGAATTTGGTTGTAAATGGAGATACGGTATTAGGTTTTGTAAAGTGATGTTTTTTGGACCTTCTTTACTGCTGAAGTGATAAAAAAAATGAAGAATTCATTGAAAATACGATTTTTGGGCGTAATTTTGCTGGAAGTCGAGTGTAATACGTGAATCGTGAGATGTAGACATTGATCATAGCTCATGTTTTAAGCCCCGAGGAAGTTACGGCACTTGTGTGGTCTTTGTGTACTTGATTTCCCCAAAAATGGAGAAGAAAGTGAATCTTACAGTTTTTGATGAATTACTTTTTTACAAGTGTGATTTTTAACAGTCAGTGTTGATATTATTGAAGGTTACACTGTTCCCAGTCGGCTTTAAAGATTTTTTAATGGGATTATTTTTTGTTATTTTAGGTTCTCCCGTCCCTTCGGACTAAAGTTTGGATTTTGTGACGGAAAAGATCTCAGATGGAACCTCAAAACTACTTGTAAATATGGTTTGTGCGTTTAGTCGACTCAAGGATATGTTTGTTAACTTGTTATGTCATCAGTTGTCAACTTATTTTATTTTTGGTAATAAACGTTAAAAATAAATTTAAAAAATTGTGCTGAAATGGATCGATTTCGATAAAATCAATGCCTGTATGTTTATTATTCGCTGTTTCGTTGAATGAACAATGTATTGTCGACAAATATGGTGTAGTTTTCAGAGGTTTGAGAGAGTTTACAATGCTTGATCTTAAGTTGTAATCTGAGAATAACTAGTGTAATAGTTGTCGGCATGTGTCTAGAATGCGATGTTTAAGTGAGTAGACCATGTGAGAGTGACCAAAGATGGAGAGGACCCTCAAATTTGCATAAAGTTATATTGTAGTAGACATCAAATAAGAAGTTGATAATTTTTGTTGGGAAAATTGACGAATTGAAACCTTGACCCTAATTACAGTAACACTCAAGTGTTTTTAGTGCGAGGGAAAGCAGGTGGGGGACGTAATTGTTCCCAAATTGAGACGTCTCGCCAACAAAATTTGTGTTTTTGGGAGAGGGTACAAGGTAGAAGGTCCTAAGTTGAAACATGATTCTATGCTCAGAGTTGTCTGTATAGTTACAGTAAAAAGGATCAAAAATGATTTGTGGGATTTGAAGACAGCAAGGAGCTTATTTTAACAGGGAAAGTACTTCTATGGGGTATGGAGTTACAGGTCGATACATACATCAAAAGATTCAGAAAATTTTCTTGATTCAGAATATGTAAAAATTAGCTGCCTAATTTTGGTTTGTAAGGGTGAAAAAATCATCAGAACTTTTCTCGTAGCACCACGCAAATGCCCCTTTTTTCATATTGGAACTACTGATTAAGGTGTAGTATTAATCAAATTTGATATTTTAAGGCTTGTCTTAAAATATCAAATAAAAGATGCCAGCGTTTACTTTAGCTCAAAACAAAACTTTTGATTTGGTAAAAACTTGGTCAAAAAAGCATTTGCGTGGTGTTGCGAGAAAAGTTCCGAGGATTTTTTCACCCTTACAAACCAAAATTAGGCAGCTAATTTTCACATATTCTGAATTAAAAAAAATTTGCGAATCTTTTGATGTATGTCTCGACCTGTAACTCCATACTCCATAGAAGTGCTTTCCTTGTAAGCAAAAACAATTGGGTGTTTTTTTTATCAAAAACCCAATTAAAATATTTTGATTACCATGTAAAGTTGTGTCACTACTCTATCGGTTGGATTGTAACCATCTCATAATCTTTTTTACCGTATCGCGAAAGTTGTTTCTAAAAAAGATGACGAAACTTTTGAGAGACTTCTCGAAAAAGTTACAATTGGGTATAATTGAAAAGAGTTATGGGCCGTGTGACTCGGAACAATTATAGACTTCCAAGAGAGGGTACCCTTCCTTAAAGGCACGTAATTTTATAAACCATGGACCTTCATGAGACCTCAACAATTTGGGCTCAGATTACGGTAGAAAAGGGAGGGAATTGTGGCAGCAAAGTTCAATTTCTTGCAACAAAATTGATCGCAAAAGTTGTAAAGAGACTTTCGAAAATGCCTGGACTTGTTGTGTCCAGGGTTCGATTCCGGTCGGATTAGTCATCCTTTTTTGGTAGTTTTTGCCATTTTTCGACAAGTTTGGGCCTTTTTGCTTGAGGACCTAACGCTTCCACGCAATCCCCTCAAAAGTCGCTGGGTCAAGGTTTCTATGTTGTTTATGGTGAACAAAGCAATTGGTAACAACTCGAAGACAATATTATATGTTATGCTAGTGTTAGAAATCAGACTATGCAACAAAACAAACCGGATTACAAAAAGACTTTATACATGTGTGTTTAAAAACAAGAGTTTTTGAGATTTTTGAGCGTATAAATAAGAATTGCGTGGAGATACAGTCGGATGACGATTAAAAAACACTGTAAGAGTAAAGGAAAAGAGATGGGGAAATCGGCCAACGATGACGGAATGTTCGAATCGGCTCTTTGGTTGGGTCGGGATACAAAAGTTTCGAGTTCAACGCCTCAGGGGTTTAAAAAAATAAAAATTTACTAAGCGAAAAGCCCCGAGGGCATCAACAATTCCGTCATGACGACCTCGATACCCGATCAGTCAAATTTACAGAAATCCTGCCCAACTCCGGCCCTTAGGCCTTGAGGGGATGCCCCGTTCTCTGGTCGACGTCCTTGATCAGGTCGAAGTCGAACTGTTTTCCCATCGACTGCCAGAACATCATCCTGTCCAGCATCAGGTTGTCCCTCAACACGGGGTTAGGGCGCATGTCGAAGAAGCCGAGAGGATGCTCTTCGGTCACGTATGGCCAAGGGCCAAGAGGTGATGAGGGGTTTCTGAAAAGGTCGGCATTAGTAAAGAAGGAGAATATAACTCATCATTTTTGGTATTATGATCTGCTAGAACACTAAAGATTTGTGTTCTGCAAACAGTAGAGATCTCAATCTACCATAGTCTGTGCTTACAGTGATTAAACTTGAGGAATGCCTTAAGCAATTTGTAAAAGTTCGCTTCCCCGCGCTTTAATTCACGGAGTTTCGGGGTAATTGTGATGTTTTGTGACACGATTCAATTCCCTCTTTACGTGCAATTGACCCCACTTTCGAGAGGTTTTAGACCCCAAAAAAGTTTGGATTGTAACGAACTAATTGGATTACAATTTCCAGTTTCTAGAGTACTATGCAAATTCAGCAAGGTTAAATTACTTTTAAGACTTTTAAAAGTTTTGCTTACCCAATATGGCAGAAGTTGACCAGAGCCGAGATGATGACACTCTGCAATTTTCTGTCCTCGGGCTGGAATTCGAAGGGTCCGGTGATCGAAAGGCCGAAGATGTAGGGGAATTCGTAGGTCTGGTATGTTCCGAGCACTGGCAAGTTGGCCTTGGGGCTGAGCCAGTTCAGCAAGTACAGGAAGACGGGCCATCCCTCCTCGCTCTTCTTGCGCACCTCCTTCAGAACGGGCATCGCGAACTGGGAATCGGACAAGAGCTGGGTGTAGCGGGTCAAGAAGAAGTGGGGATCCACGGCCATCGCTTCGGTGGCATTTCTGTCCACGTAGAAGGCGATGAGTTGTTTGCGGGCCTCGCCGACCTTCTCTCCGAAACGTTCTGGGGTCGCGATGTAGGTCTCAATGAAGTTGATCAGGTCCTGGCGACCGAAACTGTTGATCTTGTCCATGGGGATCACGAATTTGGATTGTCTGGGGGCTCCGGGGAAGGGAAGGGCTGAAATTTTAAAATTAATTAGTCTAGTTATTCCATGGCCACTTAATTTTGCCATTTCTCATCAAATTTTGGGTCTTTAAACAGAATGCCAAATTTGTCGGGAAAAAAATGAAATTTAATTTTTGATTGGAAAAGTGCTTAAAACTGAACTTACTCATGATCATGGATTCCTGGCTGTTGATTCCTTGGATGGTTGGCTTCTTGGGGGCGTCATGTAGCATGGTATCGATGTCAGCATGGAAGAAATCACCGTCCATTCGAGGCTGGAATTTGGCAAAGTTCACTTCGTCCCTTCTCCAGCCAACAGCCTGGGCGGATTGGATCAATTTGTTCAAATCCATCTTCTTCAGGCATTCCTTGATCTCCGCAGATTCTCCTTGACATCCAGTAGCCTCGATCACTTTCTTGGACTCATCCACAACACGATCAGACAACGCCCAGCCGGACAAAATAGATCCACTCATCTGGATGGCCTGTTGGAAAAGGTCGCGAGAGTGTTTGGACAGGGAGAGGGCGCCCACAGAAGCGGAGCCGGCGTTCTGTCCCATCACGGTGACCTGGTTGGGGTTGCCTCCGAACGCCTTGATGTTCTCCTGGATCCATTGAAGGGCCATGGTCTGGTCCCAGAGACCGAGATTGCCGGGCATGGCTTCGTCTCCAGTGCTCATGAAGCCGAACACTCCCAAACGGTATTGAATGGTGACAACGACCACGCCAAGGCCGTTGAATTCATTGGCCAACTCCTGGAATCCGTAGATCTCGGCGTTGCCTCCGGCGAATCCACCGCCATGGATGAAAACGAGGACCGGGAAGCCTCCGGGGAAAGGCGACTTCTCGGATGGAGTCATTACATTCAAATAGAGACAGTCCTCGCTGGTCATCGGCGCCTTGATCGGGAAGTCGGTGATGCTCGAGTTCATGATCGGGGCGAAGCTAGCACATCCTGGAGCCCATTTGGTCGCTTCCAACGTCTCTTCCGAGGCTTGCACTGGCACTGGCTTCTCAAATCTTCTGGCTTCGGTTGGTGGTTGGGCGAAGGGGACGCCCAAGAAGATGTTGGAGATCCGGCCACTTGTATCGGGGAGCTTGAATTGGAATCCGGTCAGTTTCCCCTGTCTCAGCGTCACTTCTGGTGCTCGTCGAATGGAGGCCGAGTTAAGCAGGGAGCAGCACAGGACTAGGCATGTCAGCAACAACACATTCCGACGATTCATTGCTTGTTCTATAACTCTCTGCAAAGGATTTTATTAGAATTGGGGATTAATGGAACATGGAGAATATAAATGAACATTTCATCGCGAAAATTGATAGAAGGTTGTCGATTTGTTAGATTTTTTAATAAAATAATCCGTCAAGTTTAAATAAAAGTCATCTAGGCATCCAAATATTACTCATGAACACCAATATTGACAGATTTATATTATTCATGATATCAGATGTGAGATTTTGAAAGGAGACGTATAAATCAACGTAAAACGGCCATGTCGACTACTAATTGAATCAGGAATTCTCTATAGACATCGTAGTATGCGATCAACATGCCACAAGTCATACCACAAAGCACTACCTACTATAACATAACTTTTTCTATATTCAAACTCCAACCCAATCACATAAACAGAACTCGCTTTAACGTCCCCTGACATGACGTTGTAACCTTTGGCGTCTTTAAGAAACGTCCCTCTCAACATCAGCTCTCTTTACAATGTTCTCCATTCCTACTGCCCCAGCCTTTTATATTGTAAAAAGAACGTCGGAAAAGTTTGCGCGACCCCAAACGAAACGTGTGAATTGCGAGTTGATAGGCAGTGCAATCCATTAACGCGCTCATCGACGAAAACATTTTCAAAAGTTGACCAAAAAAGAATCAGATTGATGGCCTGAGGGCATGTACTCGAAGAGGAAAGAAAGTACAGCAAAATGGAGATGGGTGAATGCGGGAACAGCGTCCAACAGTCGAGAAGATAATCGAGAGTGTAATTGGGGAACGATGGAGAGATACGGGGACATCGAATTTTGTATTACACGGGAGAAGGGGTCAGAATCGGCAGTGTAATGTAATCTGTTAGAGATTTACATCGGAACACATGTATTTTTATTTGTGAAAAGTTTGATTTGAAATAAAATGGGTAAAAATGCTGTTATGCCCTAAGGGAAAATGCAAAATATGGAGCTTCTTCTTGTGGCCTAAATAAAAAATTATAAAGGGTGGTAAAAGTTGTAAATCTGCAATTCAAATTGCATTAATCGGCAGCAGCACTATTAATTTCCAAATGATACTGTAACATCAGGAATTCTACCACAAGTTATGTTGTACGACCATTAACATCAGTTTTTTGATCTGATGGTCATGTACAATATAAAGTTTCAAACTTTTTTCCCTTTGACCATAGACTATATCGAAACCCCTATCAGAGCGCCACAAACCATGAAATCGCCCTCTCTACGTGCAAGCCGTCGCTATAAGCGCTGATTCAAGGTCCAGCTCCCGAATTACAGTACCACTTGAGTTAACGGCGGTTGTAAGAGCTGATGGTTGTGCCCTTAACACAACTTATATATATTCTCGAGACGGGAGGGCGGTCCCCCTCCTGTTTTGCAATCACTTTCTTTGGCGCCCTCTCTCCTTTGCGAGATCTTTCTCGCTTTCTCTCGCCCTCTCCCTTCTTCGCGCACTCTCTCGCCGCGAATCAACGAAAGGAAGGGCCGAGAACGGTGCGGGCCGTTCCGCCACGCCCCCATGATCTTTGCGATTTCGCCGGGAAGTAAGAATTGTCGGGTTTCACACGTTCCCCCTAAGGGCATCACGCCAAAGTGGGAAAGGCGGGAAAACCGCCCAATGAGCGGGTACCCTGAGGGCATTTGGGACGAATCCAAAGTTCGCGAGCATGGCTACGTTGAAAAATTGCAATATAAATACTCGGGGATCGATAGATGACTTGCAATTAGTTTCATCTTTTAACGGTTTTCCAAAATAATGAAAGGTGACATTTTATACGATGAAAAACGAAGTTTTCAAAACCTTCCAACTCCAAATTCGACCAACAAAAATGGCCAGATGACTCTCAATTTGTCGTCAATTACTATGGTAAACAAACGAAACGGTTGTTCGAATCTTAGTCTTCAAAAATTTATATTACTTTAGATATCTGAAGGTACAAAAAACCCGGCGTTCCTTGTGGTTTATCCCCAAAATTGCCCCAATTCACATTGTTGGGGCAATTTCCTTTCTTGTGAAACGTTTTTAAATGGTACTCGACCTTGCCTTTGAACTGTAATTACTACTTTTCTTCAGAAATTGGGTAAAATAAAGGAAAAGTGTGGCTAAGTGTAAAAGACGAAGATTTAGAGGTCGAAAACTATGAAGGGAATGTGTATTCTATGTGGATTTAATAGAACTCGGCCAAAATATTACTGTAATTTGGAGATAATGAGAAAAAATTGGGAAATACTTGCGATAACGCGATTTTTAAAATTTTACGATGAATAAATAAGAAATCCGTATTTTAGAATGGTCGAGAACATAATTTCTGGCAATAAGATCAACTGGGTTACTGTAAAAAACCTATTTTCAGGGATAAAATACAGTATTCTCCTAAAAATTTCCGAAAAATCCAAAAAATGTAGTTTTTTTCCGTCCAAAAATCACTTTTTCCTACTGTTTTCTATTTTTCGTACTGATTATCGACCCAAGAATGTGTGCACTCTATGTCCTCCTACCTTTTTTACACTCTACCACGAGTTTTCCTCCTTTTTTGCAGCCCCATCCATCTTATTTCAGTGTTCGCACTTTGTCTTTAGCCCCCAGATTTGTCGATGGATCGCCCATGTGATTCCGTCCATTTCTCAACGACTTTTAACCGTCGAAAACAGACGGCACCGTGCATATACGTTCTGCACGCAGCTTCGGGGGCGAATCTCATCGATCAAGTCAGGAAATGTGATTGCGCCCTGGCCCCGCAGCCCTCGCCATGTGGAGAAGGCCGTCTTCTTCGGGGGGTGCCCCAGAGAACACTCGCCTACTGTAAAGCGATCGGGTGCAAAAATAGATTGTTTTTGAGAGATGGTAAGCAAAAAACCGGGAGTAATCGGGAATTTGGGAGGTTTTGCACAGTGCAAACCCAAAAATAGGGTGATTAACCAACTACTAGCAGTTTAAACGGGTTAGGAATTGAAACTACAGAGACATTATGATATAAAAAAGATATCTAGAAGTTGATTTTTGATCACAAACAACTCCAAAAAAAGTTTTTTCAAAAAAAAAGTCATCAATTCCGCCAAAGGTGAAGATACTGATCTCTTGCACCGAAACAGGATCTCACTGTAATCTCTGAGGCTTATATATCACCCACAGAGGCTCCGCCTACACTTCTGGAGCAGAGAATGAGTCGAAGAACGCACGTTCTCATCGCCATATTATACTCGACTTTCGCAAAATAACTCGCCTTGATTTATGGCTGTAAATCACGACTGCTGCACAAAGTACGAATGTGGAAAGCGGGTGTTTCGTGGAGTTCGGAGCACAGAAAGCCATGTGATTGAAGACTTCTTGATCATTCCACTGACCTTCCTAATTAGCTACCGTAATCCCGAGGGGAAAACAAAAATATGCAAGATTTCTTGGGTGTAATCGTTGTTTTTGATTGTGATATGTGTTGTAGAGGGGATGAGAAGGCTTGAAGGAAGCAAAGGCGATCAAAGGAGTAAAGTTAAAACCGAATTTTTTGCTTTTTTTTAAATCAACCAAAGTTTTGAAAAGATTACTGTAACATAAAAGCTTTGTCCAAAATTATATTGTCGCAATCTACAGATGTCATATGCTTCAATTCCTTTCTGACTACCTTATTTTTCATTTTAGAGTTTATTTCTGTAAGAAGTAGCATCAAATCTTCCGCACAGTGCAGTCAAAATCCTATTTGATCCAAAAGTAATGTTAAGCTGCAAAATTTTCCAGTTTTTTTAAGTAGTATTGACTAACTAGTTGCTACAGTAACCTTATAAGCCAAACTGATTCCTAATTTACCCCTCTGTAAACCTTGGCGATGATGATTTGTGGACTCGGCCGCACAGTGCAAAGTAATTTATTTTCTCTGCACCGTGCGGAAATTTAAACACTTTTTTAAAGTGTCAGCACAACTCTTTTCGAACCACACCTGTCCTCCACGTTGTCATTGCCCTCTCGCGATGGAATCTCAGTCATTACAATCGCTTTTGAACCCGCTCTTTGATTGATTTCTATATTATTCATCAACTTCAGGGCATTCGATAAATTCTTCGTAAACCCCATGTGATTCCGATTAATTAAAGTGCTTTCGAACTTCGGGGGATCTCGCAAAAACTCGTTTCTTCTTGGTTTTTACTACGGTAATCCCAAAAATAAACTTTTCGAAAAAATTGAAAGTGTTTGGAAACAGTGAAAAGTTACTGTAATCGATCAAACCACGTGATTTTAGACACATCGACGCCTACAGTAGGAGCTTAAACAGAATCCGGAAAGACGTAAAAGCTTGACTTTGGATGCCTGAATTGTAAAGTATTACAAAAAAATGATACTTTGGAAACCAAAAATCTTGAAGAGCCATGTGGAAAACACGGCAACTACACTCTCTGTATTTTGGGTTACCTGCGAAAAGGTTGAATGTTTAATAATGTGGCAACGCAAACAACCAATGTATTGTAAAACTATTTATAATCACAGTAATAGGAAATTACTTTGTAAATAGAGGTGTAATGGGTGGTGTGATTGCGGAAAAACATCGATAATATCATGGGAAATACTGCAAATTGTCATATTCTAACAATCTTACTACTGGTAAGGCTGAATGAACTTTGTCTTGGGCAAAAATTTGATACCAATATCAAGTGTAATATAATGTCAAAATTGGAGTCTAATGTCAGGAAAATCTCAAGCAAACTTTTGCATCTGAATGACTAGTCTTAGTAATACCATGTAACACTTCATAATCGGACTGCACATCATTGTCTAAATTTACATCTGATGTCAAGTATAATATAATATAATTTTGGTACAAAACGCCCTAATTTCCCTCCGAATCTTATCATTTACTGATACGAGAGAAGAGCAAGGGATACTGTAGACTTCTGATGGATATTGGCTGAAAATTATCAGAAATACGGAGCTCAAATTTTGAGATGATACTACAATATAAATAATGTCATAAAGTATATAAATAATGGAGGAAAATTATAAAAT